TAATTTTGACTGTACCCTCACAAGAAAAGGGTAAGGACTAGGGTCTGCGCTCCTTTGTCTTGTTAACTGGAGAAAACGAAAAGAAAGAAAACACAAAAAAGAAAAGAAAAAGGACTTATATATGCCATCTAGTTACCTAGCCGCCTATTTGTCTCCTTCCACACTCTCGATTCTTTCAACGTTGCTAGTCCCGATTTGCTATATGGATAGTTATGTAATCAACCGATTTTTTATCACATGAAAATTTTACAGATTTTTTTTTTTGAGAGTTATTTTATATAGATTTTGAAATAATTTTTCCTTTTTGTTTTTCATTATAACATGAAGTGCGATTTTGCACTATATATATTCGTATGGTTTAAGTCTGGGCCAAAAGAACCTCTCCTCAAATCTGATGCTTGTGGTTCAAGAGATATAAAAGCCCAGTGCTTTGGGTTTTTCTTCTGGTGACTTTAAAGTTATGATGAATTTTATAAAATTTAATATAATCGGATTACATATACAGAAGCACTTTGCTTATTTTTATGTATAAAGGAAGGAAGTCATCAGTGATTCAAATCGTTTTGTAACAATCGGTGCACAGCTCGAATACCACTTCAAGTTTTGAGATTGACCGCATATAGTATACTTTACTTTCTTTCGGTTGTTTTCTTTACTCTTTCTCGATCCTTTTCTTTTCTGTCCTTATGTGACAAGATTGATTTTTTTTATGGAATACCATTTTTGTATGTTGTGGATATTGAGTTAAAATGATATCTATGGTCAAAATCGACTTTGCATATGATAATTGCAGACAGCTTGGGATATAATAACACATGGTTAGGTGCATTATAAAGGTGGCCCATTCAGATTTTTAAAGGTTATATAATTTCAAATGAGGGCAGGACATGCTTCAATGGAGTGATTTTCGGTTTTATTACATTGTTTTTTTGTGCGCCATTCTCATTTTCCGAAGACAAATTAAGAAGCTAATTTAGAATGCTGATGTATCATTGTGTCAAAAAGATAATTTGCATTTTCAAAAAAGGCTCAACTTGTCAAGTAAAAAAAAAAAAAAAAAAACCTTAAGTTGCCAAAGTAATTAGCAGACTATTTGTCTCCTCCTGCACGAATCAACGAACCACAATTCTTTCAACATCAGTCAATTCCTAGTCTCAGTTTGCCACGATGGTGAAATTATCTTATCAATCACTTTTTAACAATGTATATAAAATGAGATTAAATTTTGATCTACGATAATATAAATTATATTTTAAAACCTCATCTAATAACTTAAATTTTTAAATAAGATGATCCTTTAATATGATATAAGAGTTTAGTTGATTACGTGATTCTAAGTTAAAATCTCATCATTCTTATTTTCTCAAATATTAATCACATGACATATGAATCGATGTAAATTTTAAGTCTAAATATTGATACTTCAATTGAGGGGGTGTGTTTTTAAGTGAAATAGTCTTTTAATAATTGATTTTCAATTTTTGATTTAATTATTAGATCATAATTTAACTGATGAAGTATTTATATGACAAAAAAATTATAAATCAATTTATAGGTTAAATTATTAGATCACAATTTAACCGACGAATTATTTATATGATATAAAAGTTATAAGTCAATTCACAGTCTCAGTCTCAATTTGTTGTATCGTTCAAATTATCTAATCAATCATTTTTTACCAATGTGATTAGATTTTAATTGGCAAAAATAAATAATTTTTATTTTTTTACGTAAATTATTGAATTGATGGTTTAACTAAGGAATCACATATACGACGCACGCGCAAATATATGATATCAAAATATAAAAAATTAAAAGGCATTAAGCATTTTTATTTATTTTTGTTTTTAAAGTAGATGACGCTTCACTTTATGAAAATACTTTAAAAGATGGTTTGTCATTCAAAATCTTTCAAAATGAATTATTTATCATTCAAATTTGATGACATATCACCTACAACGAGTCACTTCAAATTAATTAAATTGTCAATTAAGATAGATTTATATCAAATTTGATTAGTTCAGTTGTTTAGATAATCATATTAAAAAATCAAACAAGTTTAGTAATTGGTATATTGGTTAGACCGACGGGTCCGATTTGAGTGACATTGTTTTTTAACATATGAGAAATTTATGTAACTTTTATAATTTTTTCTTTTTTCTTCGTCAAAATATAATGTGCGCTTTTGCACAGTGTGCGAAAGAATCCTTCCTCAAGCCGAGTCCTCCTTAGCGAGTTATGCAGGCACTGCATGGTGAAGGTACTAGCGTTTGTTTCCCTGGGAACTCCTCCGGCTTCTTATCCAATGGCACCAAAAAGAAAAAAAAAAAAAAAAGAAAGAAAAGAAACCCTTACACAGCCCATCTCAATACCGATTCAAGTTTTTTTTTCCTTTAATGTTTTTTACAAGTACACCACTCAAAAATGTTTTTTTTTAATCAATGAAATGAACACAAATAAATTGATCAAACACCCATTACAAAATTGCATTTTTTATATCTATGTATTTTTAGAGAAATTCAATCACATTTATTTCGAAATCTAAATTTAATTAAGATACTTTTTGTGAATATCGGAAGTATTTGAGCATTAATATGTCTATATATTTTTTTAAAGAAGCATAATTCGTACCTAAAACCTAATACTCACTGAATATTCTATTTATTATTGTATCCAACTCCATTAAATAATAGCATACATTTTCAAGATTTATTATTATTTTTATTGAAAAGTATGTGGATTTTAGGCTATATTATACAATAGAAAGCAACCCTTCCTCATTACATAACCAAATAAAATGGAGTATCAGGACTCAAATTTACTTTATTAAAAAAAAGTACTTAATATTCAATCATTAAATTATACTGTTAAAGGTTTATAATGTATACCTTATTGAAATAATAGGTATTATAGCTTAAAAAAAATATCTTTAGCTGTTTTCTTTTCTATGCTTATCCTACTGGAGAGATTTTCTTTTTATCACGAGTTTACATGTTATTGGTAATTTGCTAGCGGCAGACAGCTTGGGATCAAAACTTTGATGCAGCACATGGTTATGTGTATTATAAAGGCTACCCAATTACCATCGAACATTTGAATCAGAGAAGGACATGATAAAGCGAGTAGTTTAAAGCTGTATTAATTTGATGGTTTGTACGTCATTCTCGTTTTTTTCCTAAAAAATACACGAGGAAGCTAAGAATATTGCTGCACACATTGACTGTGTCAGAAGACTGGTGTAGATCAGCTTGTATTAAGGATCTTAATAGAATTTAGGTTGTACTTAGAATTAACGAGAGAGGTCAGAAAGAGAAAGTTAATCCTATTAATTAACTGAAGAAAAATGTGAAATTAGTTCACCGCATTTCAACTCCCATGACTCTGCTTAGAGTTTCCTTTCATCTTTTGCTTTTTCGCACCAAGGACTCCACCGTTTCGCAATTTTATGTCGTCATATGTCGACAAATTCTCCGTGCCGCGTGCTCCATGACAAGACATTGAGCTTATGCTCACATCGCATGCTAAATTTTTTTTTAGGTGAATGAAAGCGATGTTTACGGCCCAAAATACTTTGTTTTTCGGCCATGCTGGAGACAGGTTGGACATAGTACAGCGAGACAGGCGGTGCGGGTGTGTTTCTAATGGCGGCCTTCAAATGGGTCCAGATATTGGAAAACATGTTCGAGCTATTTGATTTCTTGACTTTGACTATGGAAAGATAAAATCAGTGCTATTTGATTTCCTGGCAGCGGCAAGTATAATTAGCTGTTTGGATTTTTTATTTTATTTGTTATTATTATTTTCTACTTCATTGTGGGTTTTTTTTTTTAACGTAAATTAGCATGTCTTCTATTTTATTATTATATTATCAGATGAAGTTCTATTGTGCTTCTAGTAGAAATCAACAATTGAGCACAATGCAAAGTTGTAGTATGTCATCTCCACCTCATGGTGTTTGTTCTGCTTGTAGAATTTTCTGCTACTGTTTCAGGCTTGCCATCTCTATGATCCAGAATGTTAAATGTTTATTTTTTTGGTTTATTGGAAGGTTTGTTAGGTTTTATATTATACAATAAGCAGCTTATTATTTAATAATAACTGAATAAATTAAAATTATTAGGATTTCAAACCTATTGTACTAAAAAATAAAATTAATATCTTTTGATCCAAAATATTAGTGGTAAGGTTCAATAGATAACATCTAGTGGGCCAAGTTTAAGGGAATACTGAAATTTTAGACCTGACTCTTGGGGGTTCACTACTCTTTCAAGTTGGGCCTCAGGGAATGGGAGATCTGGGAACTTCTGTAACAAAACTAGACAAGTGCTCTTTGAAAGTTATAGCTCCCAAATAAGCAAATATTTAGCCAAGGTTTTTTTTTCTGTTCATAATATTAGCCACTGGCCTGATTTCACAAAAATCACTAGGCCATCGCAGTTTGTGTCTGTTCATTGCTGAATGGAACAGCTTGGTTGAAGCAATGAAGAGCCGTGGTCCAGTGGATGTGGCTGGGTATTCATTGGGCATACTCCGATCCATACAAATTCTAGGAGACTAGTTGAGGTGCGTGAGTTGAAAAAAAAAAAAATACTCCAACCCAACCAACTCTGACCTTGGTAATGGAATCGAGAGTGGGTATGGAAATTGCTAAGGCCCTATAAACCATGAAGATGTCTAACCGGTCCTTTCCTTTCTGTAACCCTTTTTGCCCCACAACTCTCAGAATTTCATATTCTTGGTTTCTTTTAGCCAAGTTCAGTAATGAGTAAACCGGACTGGCATGTTGTCATTTTATTCTTTACAAGAGACAAATTCGAGTTAAAAAAAAAAAAAAAAACTCTACAAGTTTTTATTGAATAGGCTAGTTTATTCTAAACCTTTCGCATAGTTTTATTTAATTTCTTGATGTACAATTTCAATCAAGTGCATGAACAACCAATGTTACAACCAAATTAATCTTGAATATTGAGAATGTTACAACGCATATCGAATGGCAATAACTAAACATTCCTAGAAATATTCTTAGGCGATGATACTTCGATGCTACAAATGGGGCAAATCTTGTTGATTTGAAGCCACTTGGTTATGCATTCAGAATGATAAGGATGGTCACAAGAAAGAGCTACCAATGATTCATCTTCTTCATATTCCATTTGACAAACCACACACCGATCAGTCCCAGTTTTTTTTGCTAAAGATTGATACTTACATGGATGCAAGCACGTAGATATTTCATTTATTGATAGTCCTCTCTTCTCTTGCCCTATAAACTCTCCGAGCGCAACCAAATCTTCATAAGATAGCTCGTCCAGGTCAATTTCATCCTCTTCCTCTTCCATATCTTCATCTCTGTTACTGTCCTGTCCTTCCTGCAGGAATTCCATTTCAGATTCGAGTTCGTGGCTTTGGAAGAACTCATAGTCGTTGTCATCATCATTACTTTCTGTACTTGAAGCTTCATCACTTTCTTCTTCATTACTATCGCTTTCGATGCTTGTGAGAATTGTGAAAGCCCGCTCTTGTTCTTGCAAAACCATTGCTATTGCAAAATCCGAATGAACTTGCTCGAGTTGGGTATAAGGGACCCTCCTCCATGCTTGTTTTCTCTCTTCATCATCCTCCATTGATTGTTTTCTCTCTTCATTGTCCATCGAATGAGACTACTGATATCTGGAAATAGGTTCAGTCCACGACAGAATCATCGATTTTGCTATATATGATCAGGATAGCGATACATCAAGGAATAATGAATAGAAATTAATTAGAGGTTTCTTTAGACAAAAGGGAACTTTCATGCAAAGCAATGGAAAACCATCTCTCATGCGTTAGATATAAAATTCTAGATTCGTAGAAGTTCAAAGTTCAGACACTAACGTTTGTACCATTCTTGCCTCTCACATTTACACACAGGCATCTTTTGTGCTTTCTTTAGGGAGAAGGAAGCTTTCGTACGTGCTTGAAGCAAATGAAGACCATTTCCCATAAGTTATATGATATCTTATTCCAAAGTTCAAAGTTAAATCCATTAAGATTTGTAGAGACCTTGCTGTATGTCTCGGCAATCTCCCAAATCCAACCAGCTGTATGTATCCATGGATTTTAAATTCGTATGTACTTATCACACATAAAAACTTGCAACGATTCTCAATTATTATTGATTCAAGGTTCAAGAGAAATATGTATATCAACATCCTATATAAACAGTGACAAAACCATAAAAAATTGCTATTTGAAATGCAAGTGTTAAACATTGATCAAAAGTGGATGAGATGATCATGGCGCCAGTCTTGGAGCTAGCAGGGCTAAACTAAGTCAACGCACTTGGCAAGAATTAACGCATATCAATGCCTACAGAAACAAGTAGCCCCTGGAAGATTCAACAGTTGGGCCCTTTATTGAGTTCGCCAAACCCACCCCCCCCCAAAAAAAAAACTGTTTTATGCATTGGACAACTGAGCTGCTGCATGAGCGTACTGGGATTCACAATAAGGCCATATATAAATTGTGTTTAGTTCAATAATTTCGCCAATTAGTTGGTGTGGGATTGATGAAAGAAGTGAAAATTACAAGCAATACTTCTTGAATCAAGCAAAAACAGGAAACTCTGAACTCTTTTGCTAATACCCGCAGGGAGAGAAAACTCTAAAGTCTAACCACAATGGTTCGTTCTTTCACGTATACATTGACCAGAATCGCTGATCAGCGACAGTTACCATAGGGTGAATTTGACCAGAATCGCTGATCAGCGACAGTTACCATAGGGTAGTTAATTCACCAATCATGATTTATTGATTGCTATAAATGTAGCATATGAACATCTACAGCTTAACATAGTATTGTTGCACAATCAATTACATTCCAAATATACGTGCGTGACATGGCTGTTTCAGGAATAGAATACAAAGTGGGAAGAAGTCAAGAATAACGCAAATTTTTTTACTTACACAAGTGTATTCAATCATGTCTCAGTAACTTGAGTTCTTGAGATCCAATGTTCACCGCCATTGTCTTCGAAAAGCCCTTCCCCTAAAACTTGAGCCTTTACGCACAAACTGCGACGTGTGAGTCACCCGAATGTTTTTAACTGTGCTAACATGTTTTCCATGCTTAACACGAAGGATTCTTTCACAACCACAATCAAAAGCTGAGCCTAAACCTACTCGAATACGGTGACTTCTTGGCCTCAAAGACTTGCTTAAGTGAACTATCCTGTAATCTCTTGTTCGACGAGATAATGTTCCACTTATTTCCATGGTTCTAGGTACGTAATCGTAGTCTTCTTCACTTGTGTCAAACTCTGATAAGTCAATTCTGTGGCCGTGCCTTATCCGTTTGAGCATTATAAGCTTATCACAAATGAAAATGCAACAATACTCCCACATAGAGAACCAAGCAACCAAGCATAACCAAGCCATTTTGCAGAAGATATGGCCAATGCACTCGCAAATGCCCATTTTATAGAACAGGTAGAAGAATAGGAGGACTGCAGTTTATCAGAATGTGAAACTGTGAAAAAGTGAATTTCAACTGTCATCTGAATTAATGTTAAATTAATGTTAGACATTCAAACTCACCAATGTAGAACAGAGCTAATACAATGACCATCTTTAGTAGATTGGCAACACAGAAATTCTCGATGTAACAAATAAAATCCCATGTTGACTTACAAACTGAACTGCATCATAAAATGCAAACAACAAATAACAGAAATGAAATAGCAGAATTAGTTAAAAAAAAAATTACAAAATATAGATGTTGAAGCGAAAATTTGAATAATTGGCAGGCCCATTTGTACAAATTCCCATTATTCTTGACGCATAAAAAGTAAAAAACTGAGAATTTTTTTACATTGACTTCTATGTGGACCCAACCAATCATATTACTTGTGATAGAGGGATCCAGAACAGCAACCAATAATAAAATCAAAATCCACAACACCAATCAATCAGACAGTTTTAATCTACATGAACCCGGTTCATGTAGCGAATTTCACAGAACCTACTTAAAGAAAGATGCATCCATAGTTTATGCTAAAATGCAGATGATGTATGTAAAGAAAGATCAGCCGGTAATATTTACAAACCTGCAGGACTTTCCAGCAAGAAAATCTAGTGGAGAACCAAAAAGGTCGCCTATGACTTTAATAAAACCTGAAATGAACGAACCGATTATGTTACCCATCTATATCCACTTGGATCAGTAATTCAAGCAACGCCTAATAGGTGATGATCACAGCAGATTTTCGAAAGTTTCCTATTCTTTCTGTTTCTCACTCCTGCAATATTAAACAACATGAAATTAGAAAACCAAAATTAATTCACTTGCAACATTTTAAGAGCACTATCCTAATAGAGTAGTAACTACGATTTTTTTTTATCTCTTAATTTCGAGATTTTGCGCTCAGATGAACACTATTATGCAGAGAAATTTATCCGGTAATGAAATTAGTTTCGTTTTCACATAAAAGAAAACACAAAAATACTACTACCCTTCCTGAATTGTTTGACATTAGTTGACTGCGACAAAGATAATTTAATTCACGATGTAAAAAATATAAAAGTAGAAACTGAAGACTTTCACCGATTTTAGCGATATGAAGTGCGATGGTGCCAGATCGAACCCAAATTTTCTATTCATCCAAGAGAACAAAAAGAAGACAATTTTGTGTTCAAGTGAAGATGGGGTGCCGAAATGAAAGGGGCCATCAGGGAGACAGAGACAAGAAACACTCATATGTAACCGTCTTTCAAAATATTTTTTAAGACCGTTTTTGTCTCATATCCAGAATAAAACAATTATCCCAACCTCGACAAATAAAAAATAACACAAACATAGAAAAACGTAAATAAAAACGGCTGGGCAAACCTCAAATAACACTGCAAACCATAGAGGGATCTTCGATTGGATAACTAGACAATTTCTTATCTCAACTGGATTCCTAAAGGTTTATAATAAGACCCTTTATCCATATTATTAATAGACGTCATCTAAGTTGCACATTTATGTGTCGTCCTTTTATTAATAAAAATCATTGGGAATCCAATTGAAACAAAAAATTATTTGGGAACCCCGTTTAAAATTCGAGTTCTAGTTTAATGCTAATTGAAGCCTCAAAGTTTTAATAACGGATCTCTTATGTTTAACGAAAAGCAGAGGTATTTTAAATAGGCGAGCCCATTTAAACCCATGTTTGATGTTCAAAGGGCTATCATAGCTTTGGACCTTGCCTCAAAAGCTTCTAGCTCTACAGCTGGCCCATATGCAAATATCAAACTGTGTCTAAAACACATTGGCAACCAACAGATGCAGATGATCATGCTTGAGAACCCCGTTAAATAGCAAAAATTACCGTTCGCTCATGGACCGTTAATTTTGCGATTCACGCTTTTCCAGCTTCTGGGTACAAGTGCAAGAACAGAAAAGGCCTTCACAATGAGCATTCAGATAATCAATCAGCCAAAATAACTGCCATACACAGGCACATCTCGTCTTTCAAACTCATGGAAATAACCGACCATCTGATGGGATTGAATGGTGAGTCCACCCACCCAACCTGGCTGCGTGGATCATTTTGCCAAACAATGATTAGCGTATCAATTTTCGAAGTAAAAGTCACATTCAATACAACACCACAACTTGGCAACTAAGTTAAAACTTTGTTGACGCACTTCCAAATTCTATCCAAAATACATATTTTAAACATTGCTGCAAGATAACAGCTTTCATTAACAACGAAACCAGAACGTCCCCATTCAAGCTCCGAGTCTTTGGTTTGGCAGCAAGATAGAAAAACTGGTGGCCTCATGGACATGCAGTACGGCTGCTGTCAATCCATCCTTCCCTTTAGGATTTTCTCTTTAACTTCATCAGGGGTACTGCAGCATAAACATAAAATTTGTGAAGACTCATGCCAATTGAATGACTCAATGCCAGAAAGCAATAGCCAATGCTACACCTCAAAAGATGAACAGTTGAAAAACTATTTGAGTAGGCATTGAAACAGAGATTAATGGAAGACTTACACGATATAGATGTGTCCTCCCCAGCCACTCAAGCAGTCCCGATCTACTGACGCTAGCAATGCTTGGGATACCACTTCAAATAATTCATCAGGTTCCTGGCCAGCAATTATAACACAGTTAATAATTACTTTCAGGATCGAAAATAAAGGAGAGGCTTTCGTTCAGCAATCACAATAGCAATGCCAACCCACATCACTACTTGATTGTTTGAGGCAACCAGCTCGGGAACATAAACAAATGGTATAGATGTCCAATGGAATCACAAACCAGATCTAATGTTATATCAAAAGCTTCTTTAGTGAAAGTTTCAGCTTGATGTGGAACATGACAAATCTTGAGCATTAGATTAGCAGTCTATCCATTCCTATGTCGTAGTGCACTATCTAATTTTTCCATTGCAATTAATGACAACAACCCACTTTATGTTTGCAAACTTTTCTTTTAGACCAAAACTTGTGTTTGTAAAGAAATCAAACTTGAAAGTCGTGCTATAGCTCAGTGCTTACACTGACCAAGAAAAAAGACATTGCACATGATTAAGTGAATTATGGTTTACTTGGACAGGATTATATCTTTAACTGGCAAGTATATCAATTTTTCGCTGCTATTGTCATGCACAAACAGCAGAATGATATGCCATGTGTGTCAAGTCACATTATTTAGGTCAACTTCATATCATAAGGAATTAAATTAACCTACCATGTCAGGCTTGCACAAACAGCAGAATGATAAGCCATGTGTGTCAAGTCACATTATTTAGGTCAACTTCATAACATAAGGAATTAAATTAATCTACCATGTCAGGCTTGAACAATGCTTCACAGGCACCATAAAGCGACTCAGAGGCTGAGCCAGCAACAACAAAATCTTTTGCAAGTTCCCTGCATTTGGGAAAGAATGAAAATATTACGACTGAAGTAATGATTGCACTACATCAAGAAGAAATAGTTATTTAAGGGTTTGCACTTCGGTTTATTTAACAAGGTTATTGCTTCTATGGGAAACACACCACAACTAATGATGTCAATATGATGGGCTGGTGTAATTAATGGCACGTAATTAGACAGTGTTCACTTAATTTCTACAACCAAATTGAACAACTTTGAAACAAAAGTCCAAGAACATCCGCAACTGAGCTTTTCAAGACAAGTTACAGTTTTTGTCCAATATCCAATAAATAACCTAAAATTCAAAGGTTCAACAATAAGATGGAGAGACAAGAAAAAATGTGAGAAAATATCCCGATATTAAATAGAGTTTCCAAAATGTTGAGAAGAGATTATACAAAATTCCTTGAAATAAACAAGAGGAAGTAAAGAAATAGTCGTAATTGTTCTTCCTGTTTTGCTAATCCAAAAATAACAGATAAATAATCTGCGACCTTCACTATGGACCATGGCACTTTCAAGTTGCTGGCACTACCATACAAGGGATTCTAAGGTTTGAAAAGATAGAAAAGATGGGAGAAAAATAACATACTTGGCCCCAATGAAATCCATTGTGCAAATGAATGGCTTGCTATCATCACCCAATCCAGCAATTACGGGTTGGCAGAAATACGGACCAAACCTGATAGAGATATCAATTGCATTTCATTTTCATGTACATATTGATATAACTGCTCTATATTAAATGTGCCACAAAGAACCTTAGACTTCAACAAATTGAAACAAAGTGAAGATCATATTAATCTTTATGCTAGTTGCAAATATCAGAAAGCATTCTTTATGTGCGTCAAAGATACTCCTTTTACTTATACATCAACGAAACTTCACCCTTGCCAATTAAAACCAAATCAACACAACATAAACTGAACAAACCTTTTCTCATAAAGTATAGCAGAAACAAGGCTAGCAAAAGTCTCAGGCTTCATGTCCCTTTCTTCTCGCAGCTGGTACAATTTGTGACGGAAAACAAGCCTCTGATACCTACACATTATTACACCCACCCACGTAATCCAAAAATCAGTCCAACCTCCAAATCGCTACACAATAATCACAAAAAATACCCATGATTCGAAGCATTAAGCATGCTTATTTTTTTTTAATTTCACTATCAATCCTTTTCTTTTTCTCCAATGCGCTAAATACTAATCTCTACAATTTGAAAAAGCTTATAAATTTAGCAGTAGGTTTTAGAATATTTCACAAAATTCGAAAATTTTTGCAAAATAACAGAATTCGGTAAGCATATTAGACAAAAAAAAAAAAAAAAACCCTCCAAATAATGTAAAAAATAGAAAATAATTGACGGCTGAATGAGATATACAGAGTTTGGGCGTCAGTGCCAAGGCCAGAGAGACCGACGAAGAGCTTATCGTGGATTTTGTAGATTCGCTGAAAATCAGTGGCAACTGTTTGAAGGTTAACTCCAAGTCGGCGATCGCTAGCTATAGCGAAGCAGTTCTTTCCCACCATAGCTACTATGGCACTTCCATTATACTCGAAGACCTGCCAATAAGACAAAATTAAAAAAAAAAAAAAAAAGTCATAAAAGGCAGAATTAGGGTTTCACAGAGTGAAGCAGGATGAGATTTATGGACAAACGGAAAAGAAAACGTACCGACATCGGAAAATTGAGATTTCAGGGAGAGTGGATAGCAGGAGAAGAGAATGACAAAGTTCAGAGATCTTTGGGTTTTTCTTTTGCTGTTTTTGTAGAGGAAGTTCAATATGGAATGCTGGCTGGCTTGTGGGAGAGGCAAGGAGTTGTGTTGGATTGGGCTGGGCTTTTATGGGCTGATCTAGATAGGCCTAACCAGTAAACCCAATAGATACAGCAATTCAACCTGGGCTCCCAGGAAAGCCCAGAAATTCAAATTCGTGAACGTGGGTTGGGTAACATGTGTCATTAATGCTTAATTACTTCTTGGTTTGCGGATGGATCTTTTTCTCGTAGGGGGTTAATAGCGGAAAATAATATTTAAACTTTAACATTTGATGCCTTTTTAATGTACTTTGTACATGTATTATTTAGCCTTTTTTTAAAAAAAAATTTCTTAGGTTGCTGTGAATTATTTATAATCCGATGAGCCAAAAAAAATAAAAACATTTTATTCCAATAAATACATATTTTATGATGCATTTGTTTTGAAGAAAAAAAATATTTTCTTTTTGATTGATAGTTTTAAGTGGTGGTAATAAAAAAGAAGAAGCGGTGGTGTCGTAGATATTAATGGTGGCAGTGTGGAGGTGATAAGGGTGATGACTAAGTGGTTAGGAGGTACCATAGTTTTAAATAACTCTCGTTACGTTATATAACGGTTTTGGAACATCCCGTTATCATTATTTTAGTATTATAATAAGTCACGATACACGATGATGATCGCGATTATTTTTTCACCGTCCGTTATTTAAAACTATGAGAGGTACGTTGATTGAATTGTCATGAATAAGGTTAAGAATATCACGAGTTATCAAAAATATTATGCAATATTTTGAAACTTTTAGAGGAATCTAATTATAATTTTTAAGAATCCGATATGAAAACATACCTAAACGGTTGGAGAATAAAGTGACTTTAAAAAAATTGAGAGGCCATGGCTTCTCAACTATTTCTTGTGTGCTGCTCTTATTGTGGTGGTGGGTGTGTTGTCATGACAACGGTGGAGGTTGAAGTGATTATTATGTGATGTTAATGAATATAATAAGTAGATAGTTTTAAGGGAAAATATTTTTTTAATCTTTAAGAGGTTAAGATATTTTTCTCAAAATCAGCACAATTAATAATTATGGATTCCCAATAACATGTTTTATATTCACTGATTTTCTAGTGTTTGTTTTGTGCTTGAAAATGAATTAAAACATTTTATTGAAGAATCTTCTCCATAAAACAAACACATTGCAATAGAATTTAATTGAGAAAGCCGACAAACATAGCATAAACATGTTCAGATTTTTTTTTTTTTTGGTTATTTTTTTTGGTGCATTGAGTACAGTTGTGCCACAAATTTCTTTTCTGAAAAGTGACCCTATATAGACGTATTTTGTTTTGAGAAATAGTATAGTATAAATAAATTAGTTTTTATACGTGCATTATGCTACGTATCGAATAAAATATATAAAATTATTTTTAAAAAATTATTTTATTTTGATATCCTGTGTTATATTATGTGTCTACCAAAATATACTAAATCAAAACGAAATAAAAATTCATTCAATTTTATAACTTTTTAATCAAAATTTTGTATTTGACTAATTATTCTTTATATTTTCATAAATTTTTTTATTAAAAAATATTTTTTATTTATTTTTATCCACATTTTTAGTTAAAAAATTATTTTGTAATTTTTTTTCTAAATATTTTTTTACCTTAAAATTTTTAATTAAAAAAATCAGAGAAAAAAACAAGGACCAAAGTGATTAAAATGAAACCAAAAAAGAGGGACCAAAATAAAACTAAAAAAATTAAGGATAAAAAAAACAATATTTAAAAAAAAATCCAAATGTAATGTCATGAAAACTTTTATAATAAATGTATTAAAAATATTTAAAAACTACAAAAATACTATTATATAGTAAAATGAATAATGCATCTGAGTTTGACTAAATATTAAAATGAATATGGATGAATAGTATTTTAAATAGTAAAGTGAATTGTAAACCATGGTTTTACTTTATTTTTTTTTATGATTTCCTAACTTTCTTTCTCTATAATCATTTTTAAGGGAAAAAAACCTCCCTCGTTATTTATTTTTAAATAAGTACGTTTACATGACTATGTAATTAATAATGCACCCCTCTTAATTTCAAAAAAAATTATTTAATATAATAATAATAATAATGCAACCTTCTGCGAAATAAAATCCATCAAAATTATTCTAATTCCCATAAGGTTGCAATTTTCTTAAATTAAGATACCGGTCGTTTTCCATAAGTTCCTCAAGGAGGAAACTGAATCTAGCAAGACTCCTCAGTTGTCTAGTTTATAAGCATTTGGTTAGTGCTGAAAGATTAGAGACGTTAACTCATTTTCTACATATCTCCACTCAAAATTTGAGAAAGCCTACCAAAGTGGTAATTTCATTTTCAAAAAGAGATAAAGAGAGACAATCAAGGTAGATTGATGGATTAAGGTTAGAGTTTTATTTGAGAAAAAAAGGTTTCTTTTAGATAGACACATAAAAACTGCCACCCCCATACACTCGAGAGATCAAAAGCTTCATAGTACCATAAACTTCTACCATTTATTAATTCTTCTAGTAAATATATTTTGTATCAACGATAGAGTTACTTGAGATTTATTTGGTCCTGACGAGTACTGATGATTGGTAGGGTAGGGCATATAGAGATGATCAGTTGGTTGCTATGGTGGTGTTTATTGTTATCAAGCGCAATAGTCTTCTTGGCTGATCATGGAGGCAGCAGTGTTACGTACGATTCAAGATCTTTGCTCATCAATGGGAAACATAAAATCCTATTCTCTGGTTCAATTCACTATCCTCGTAGCACTCCTCAGGTACGCAGTACTCTTGTATCCTTCCTTTCTATATATCTCTTGTTTTTGTTGGAGACGATGATCATACAAAGTCTTAATCATTCTACCAAACATACCACCTTAATTAATTAATTAATAAAACAGTTGTTGTTCAACTATCCTTTCAGTCTGAGGCTGTCTTTTTAGACTAATTGTTTTTCTCCTAACAACCGTTGCCATTTTAATTGCCAGACCTTTGAATTCAATCCCAACACTGAGGATCAGCATTTCTTTTGTCTCTTTTTTAATAGTCAATGATATTAGGCTAGTTAGGACCAAGTTCTGTTTTAACCCCATAAACTTAAATGGTGGGCAGATCATCGACACCAAAACTTATATGTATATATGTGTGTGTATATTTTTTTTTCGGACTTTTTTTTTACTTGAACCGAAAATGGAACACTCTGAGTTGGTATTGGTGGAACGATGAGTGCTAACCTCCCTAAATTTTCCGTGTAGCCTTAAAAAAAATAAAAAAATGAATCACCCTTCACCGATATGTATATTCTTTATTTTTTACTTTTGTTAGACACTTAACTTTCCTTTCTTCCCCTTAATGCACTCTGTTTTTTGGTTACTTTTCCATATTCCTTTTTTTTTAAAAAAATAATTTTCCACATTTTATAAATTTATTCACGGACCAAAATCTCTCGAACTAATGCCCTAATTACACTTTCCGTAAAACATAAACAAACGTACATTTGTCGAAGTCAAACAATAATTGCTAACATTTCAAAATGAACGGCGCCTTATCTGAATTACAAACGACGTGTCATCTGTTAAAATGTGAACGACAGTTTCACGAACACATAGACAGCGAGTCTTCCATGTTGGATCATCGTGGCTTCACGAGCAAAGCAGCGCACGCTTGAATTATCAACGACACGTCATATGAATTGGATGACGAATGACAGGCGATCTAATAGTCTAGAGAAGTTATTGGATGTAACATGTTATGAATGTGCATTTGCAGATGTGGCCATCTTTAATATCAAAGGCCAGAGCAGGAGGTTTAGATGCCATTGACACTTACGTATTTTGGAATCTTCATGAACCCCAGCAAGGACAGGTGACCTTCAATTAATCTCTCAAAATGAACCAAGTCATAGTATCATCCACTAAACAACTAAATTGTACTGATCATACCAACATTTGTGGTGCCATTGCAGTATGATTTCAGTGGAAGAAAGGATTTGGTGAGGTTCATTAAAGAAGTTCAAGATCAAGGACTATATGTTTGCCTTAGGATTGGACCCTTCATCGAAAGTGAATGGACTTATGGGTATGTAAAATGGGACTGCCAAGAAGAGGTGTGGTTACTAGTTAAACCATGCGTCTGTTTTATTTTTCCTCTAGATAGTACATTAACTTCAACTTCCATGAATATCTGTGGAGGCAAAGAGTGTTGCATGAGATGACTAGTTTATTGTTTTGCAGAGGCTTACCATTTTGGCTACATGATGTACCGGGAATCGTTTTTCGTTCTGATAATAAGCCATTCAAGGTATTATAAATTACTGATTATTTATCAATTGATCGTGAAAATGTAAAATTACTAAGCCTATTTTCATATGATAATTGGCAGTATCATATGCTAAGGTATGCAAAAAAGATAGTGAAAATGTTGAAAGCAGAGAAGTTATACGCTTCACAAGGAGGGCCAATTATACTCTCACAGGTTTCAAGTCCAATACATGAATTCATGAGTCTTTTTTTTTTTTTTTTCCTTTCTTTTGTTTTTTTGTCCCAACATATCTTCAGTCCATTTTCATGATACTGAGAGTTGTAAACATGTAGATTGAAAATGAATATAAAAATGTAGAAGCAGCATTCCGTGAAAAAGGGCCACCTTATGTTAGGTGGGCAGCAAAAATGGCCGTGGGGCTTCATACTGGTGTTCCCTGGGTAATGTGTAAGCAAGATGACGCTCCTGACCCAGTGGTGAGTCTCCTTTTTAGCCAAAGCAGATTAAATAATTCTTCAGAAATTTAGATTTTAATTTTTTTTTCTTTTGAAATTCCTCTGGCTTGGTTAAATGATGAACTTGATATTGCAATTTGCAGATAAATGCGTGCAACGGACTGCGATGTGGAGAAACATTTGCAGGACCAAATTCACCAAATAAGCCAGCTATATGGACAGAGAACTGGACAAGTGTGTATGTGTTAATCAAATCCTCTGTGTTTATTTCTATGAAATCACACTTTGAGTTTGAATTTATTTTGGAACTATAATTTCCTAATTCAAATATTTAAAAGGGAAGGCAGGAGAAGATCCCTTTTTTGTCAAATTCAAATTTACTCCTCTTGGCAACGCTATAGAAACCCTTTTGGAACTTGCTTTGACAGGAGCGTTAGTGTCTTTCACGGTTAAAATTTCCTGTAAATTAATCTACGTGTTGATCTTAGGCTATGTAGAAAACAATGGAAATGGAAACCCCTTAAACTTGCTTTGTCATCTTGTATTGCCCTGCTTGAAATATTTTAAAAATTAATAACTCCTTCAACTAGTCATGTAAATTGTGTTACTTTCAAATAGACTGTAGGATAAATGTTAGTAGCTGTAACCTTTCAATGCAGATGTGATTCTCTTGCTATACTTTTGGCTTTTGCGCCAGTTACAACTTAAAAGGAACCTGTCTGTAATTTTGAAGGGTTGTAAACTAGCTTGCTTTTATCTAATGGCTCTGTTATCTCATGAAGCTATCAAGCATATGGTAAAAAAACCAGATTGAGATCTGCTGAAGACATAGCATTTCATGTTGCACTATTCATTGCAAAGGGAGGAAGCTTTGTGAATTACTACATGGTTTGTTTCTCATTCTCATGACCATCCTACTCAAACATCTCATTTCAGATTTGGATGATCTAAATTTTCTGGCACGAAGTGCAAGTTTTATCAATGCTTCTGAATGCCAATAAATCACATGAAAATATAATTCAACATAAAATGGCTTCTTAAAATCATTCCATTACTCCAGTATCATGGAGGAACCAATTTCGGAAGAACAGCTGCTGAATATGTACCGACAAGTTATTATGATCAAGCCCCTCTCGATGAGTATGGTGAGTTCAGCTTTAATATCAAGTACCTATTTTATATTATCTAAGACAAATTTGACTTATCAAGTGGGTGGGTGGTTAGGTTTGTTGAGGCAACCAAAGTATGGTCATCTGAAGGAATTACATGCTGCAGTAAAGCTATGCAGGAAGCCTCTCCTTTCTGGAAAATGGACAAATTTCTCTCTGGGCCATCTACAAGAAGTAAGAACTTGTAAAAATTTTAATTTCCTATTTTCCTCGTTATGCATTATTTTCAGTTATCTTACCTTGGAAAGTGAAAAATGCATGTCATGATTGCGTTGATTGAAGGCCTTTGTATTCGAAAGACATTCAGAGGAATGCGCTGCATTTCTTGTAAACAATGACGGGAGAAGGAATGCCAAGGTCAATTTTAAAAAGAAGTCATATAAATTGCCTCCAAAGTCAATTAGCATCCTACCGGACTGCAAAACTGCTGCCTTCAACACTGCACAGGTATGGTTCACTCCGAAGTGCTGATTTTTTCCACATATACATGTATCTGATATTCCTGCTAAAAAGATGAATTCATGCGTATTTTTCTCCATTTTAATTTCCATTTTGGACAGGTAAGCACACAATATGGTACAAGATTGGCTAAAACAAGGCAAAATTTTGATTCAATTGAACAATGGAAAGAATATAAAGAAGATATTCCCAGTTTTGATAAAACTTCATTGAGAGCAAACATGCTATTGGAGCAGATGAATACAACCAAAGATTCATCTGATTATCTTTGGTACACTTTCAGGTAAAAAAAGAAAAAGACGATAATATTTATACCAACTAGACCTGAAGCCTGGTTATAATGCCTTAACCACGTTTTCATGCACTAATATGCACATTGTATAATGTTCTTATGCAGGTTTCAACAGAATTCCTCTAATGCTCATTCTCTACTTACGGTGAACTCCCTTGCACACAATTTGCATGCATTTGTCAATGGAGAATTTATAGGTAGGTTATTGCATTTATTCTAGTTATTTTTTGAAGGTTCTCAAATGAGTCTACAAACTTTGCCACACAAAGTAATGAATCTTCTTGAAATACAATCATTGCAGAGCAAAAAAATTTCATAAATACCATGACAGCTGGAATTTTCTCGGATTTTAAGTACTTTTGTGATAAATTGCATTTCTGATAATCAAATTCCCAGTCCCAGACATAATGTTGTTGGTCTTGCTTTTTAGGATCTGCCCATGGAAGTCATGACAATAAAAGTTTCACCCTGCAGAAGAGACTTCCTCTAAAACATGGAACCAATTATGTTTCCTTGCTCAGTGTGATGACTGGATTGCCGGTACTCTCTTAGTTTCGCATTTTCTTCAGATACTCATTTCGTTACTTGCAGTCTTGAACTGTTGTTGCTGCACCAGACTGTTATAGAATATTCGTTTCGTCATCGACAAAAAATGCAAATGTTAATTCGCTTTATTATTATTAATTTTTTAATAATTATTATTATTTTGAGCATTAAGGATGGGGGAGCATATCTTGAAAGAAGAGTTGCTGGACTACGTAGCGTGACAATGCAGTTCAAACATGAACTCCATGATTTCACTACTTATTTATCAGGATATAAGGTAATTGTCTTCTTGTAAATAGGCTAATCTCAATCTACATGAGCTTACTCCAATTTTCAAGATTTATTATATCATTGTATCCCCTTCGTTTTCTGAGATACACGTTTCCTGTCATTGGTGAAACTGAATTGCCGTTAATTTTTTTCAAAACCATTGTCCCTTTTTTCTTATAGACAATCCCTTCCTTTTATATGTATGGTTTCTTTCTTTTTTCACATTTCAATAATTCCATGTAATTCCCAGAGAAAATCAAACTGATATAACTATAATTTGCCGAAGGTTGGGTTGTTAGGTGAGAATATACAGCTTCATAGAAACCATGGAGGTGCTAAGGCTTACTGGAGTCGGTATACAACCTCACGTCAGCCCCTCACATGGTACAAGGTAAATAAATTGGTTATGCTAATTCTTAATTGAATCAGATTTATGTCCAGTCCTAATCAACTTCCTAATTCAAATTTGCAGACAATTTTCGATGCACCTCTAGGAGATGATCCTGTTGCATTGAACCTTAGTTCCATGGGCAAGGGTGAAGCTTGGGTTAACGGCCAAAGCATTGGCAGATATTGGGTCTCATTTCTTGACCCAAATGGGAATCCCTATCAGACATGGTATGCGTCAGACACTAATATTTGTTTTTGGTGTATGCTAAATTGCTAATACTTCGTGTAATTTCGTTCAATCCTATGCTTGCAACATTATTTGAGGGGAAAAGATTCACATAATTGTTCATTATTTTGGCATTACGAAATCAGTTATTTATGTAGCTATAAGATATGAAACCTTTGCTTGGTCGTCCTTTTTCCCTTTAAGGTACCATATACCTCGATCATTCCTCAAACCTTCAGGGAACCTATTAGTTCTACTGGAAGAAGAAAAAGGAAACCCTCTTGGAATTTCCATAGGCACCATGTCGATCACGAAAGTATGTGGTCTTGTGTCCAATTACCATCTACCACCAGTGAGTTCATGGCAAGGTAAAAACCAAATTAATGGGAACAGCAAAACGAAATATGGTAGGAGGCCTAAAGTTCAGCTTCGTTGTCCCCGCGGAAGGACCATTTCCAGCGTTCTCTTCTCAAGCTTTGGAAATCCTTCTGGTGATTGTGAAACTTATGCCATTGGAAGTTGCCATTCATCTAATTCTCGAGCCATTGTAGAGAAGGTGAGATCCCTATTCCTTTCTCTAATGCCCTTGTAACGAAGTTGATTGCTTATTACTTCACTATTTATATATTAATTAGCTGTCAAGACAATTGAAATGTAATTATGGTTGATTAGTCGATCTTTTTCCAATATCATTAGCTATTTTAATCCCTTCTTAAGTATAAACAGTATGCTTCTTTTCATTTTCCTTTGAGCTGCACATTTTGATCACTCTCATATGGTTTGCAGGCTTGTCTAGGTAAGGAAATATGTTCCATTCCGGTGTCAAGCAAGAACTTCCATGGTGATCCATGTCCAGGAATTGCAAAATCTTTGTTGGTTGATGCTAAGTGCACATAAGAAGGGACACTTTTAGTTCTTTACTGTAACTTTTGACTCCATAATTAGTTATTCAATTTACAGTTAAAAGTGATAGTTTTCATTGGTTTATTTTTGTCACATGATTAATAACATAATGGTTTCCCAATCAAATCGATCCGAAATTATAACTTTTTTTATGAACTGTCCAATTTAATTGTATAAACTTCGCTTGTGTTTCTATTAATCGGTTGCTTCATGTTCATGAGCAGCATGTTTTCTTGTTTGACCATAATTTGTCCAATAAATTACTAAATACGATACCGATTATATTTTATTTAGTCAGCTGACTTCAATATGTCTCGACAAATTTGCAAACCTGGCAAAACAGGAGCGAAGATGAGATCATTACTGCTTGCACATTTTGTACCTCAAAACCGGCAGGTTTTTGTGCCGTGTCATAAGATCTTGACAGAAAATTATAATCAAGGAAATGAACAAAGAAAAATGGTCTGATTAATTGGTTTGATAAGTCGATACTAAAACTATAATATATTGTTGACGATTATAGATGAATGCAAATCGATCACTGTGGTTTAGATTCTTCAACACAGTCTGTACGGCCTGATAGTCCTTTTTTCTCTTGAAATCCAACAATTTCCTGAGCGTATGTTATGCTAATTAAGTCATAAACAAGGCAAATCTTATTAAACGGTCTCCCCAAGGAAAGAGAGTTGTGATGTGTGTCAAGTCAACCATATTAATCTATAGTCTCGACAGTCGATATTTCACTTCGCAGATTTTATACTATATATATATATATATATATGTATATATATAGTTTGTTCAATCATTTTTTTTATATATATAAGATAAAAGTCTTAAATTCAGAGATTGTAAAAATTGCCTATATCGAGACAGTCTATCTTTATTTTCCTGTCCTTTGAATCGTTGAAGACCCGAAGTTCAGAAAGATGATCAAATGATGGGATAAATTTAAGACATTTGAGTGCTAATTCTAGGCAAAATGTTTCTTCAATTGAGATCGCCATGCTCTGCTACATATTAACAGAAAACTGAAAGCAAAAAAAATAAGGAGAAATTATTACATAGATGCAGTGGGAGGTTTCTCATCGTAAATTGTATATGTTGAATGTATAAATACGTCCTAATGACCTAATGGAGATAGCTTGCTTGCCTCCTATATATATTTTAGTGGAAAAAGGAAAAATATATATACTTAGGACCATTGATCTATTAATTGGAGAGTCCTAGCTAGTAAATGCTCATATGTTATTAGGAAAACGAAGACTCCAAGTGCACGTGGTGCATATTACTATAGACATCAGATTTATTAACAATTTTTTTTCCCCAGAAGATTCGTACATTTTGGACGGTGAGAATAATTTTATTCTATTTTTATAGTAACTAAATAAATTACAGTAATTATGGCTCAAACATGCTTCACTATGCCTACTTATGTCTATTAGACGTCATTTGTTATTTACTGTTAATTTGTTCATAGATAATGTAAGTAAAAAATCAAATTAAATTCGAAAGAGGCCGCGCCATTTTGCATTAAACTACTCGTCCTATTTCAAAAATATTGTCTCTCTTTCTATTTAAATATATGTTAAAATATTTGTTTGTTCAAAATTTTAAATAATATATTTTTTAAAACTCTCTTGATTGATCAAGAAAATTAATTTTTTCTTCCATTTTATGTTTTTCACTAACAAAAAATCAATATTCTTTGTATTTTTTCTTTATACATACAAATATTTTTAACATAAAAATTTTAAACATAAATTTTTTGTTACATGAAACATATTCATTCTTGTAACTGCATGTCAAAATTTGTACTTTTTTGCAATTATTTTAAACTCGTTAGCTAATTAACTTAATAATTTTTTATTTGATTTGCCATCTTAATTTTGGATAAATATTCTCTATAAATTACTATTAGTTCCATGTAATTAATGCATGATTAAATTTGATAACTAACAATTTTAAACAAAAAATAATAATATTTTAAAAATATGAAAAAATATAGATATGACTTAATAATTAATAACTTACAATTTTAAACAAAAAAATATTTTAAAAAATACGAAAAAAATATTGATATGACATAATAATTAATAACTTTATAAAAAAATCAAAGGACACAATCTTTTTAGAACACAAAAAATACTTATCAATTAATATTCATGCGCTTATAAAAAGGAAAAGAAATTAAAGGAGAGAAATAGAAAAGAAAAAAAGGGAGAGAGAGAATTAATAATTAGGAGTCACTGAATTAGCTGGTTGCTATTTCCTATTTGAGTGGATAAATTTGGGTGAAAAAGTGTGAAACAGTCCACGTAAGTTGAAGCATAAACGGAGTAGGCATCCCACGTTCATCATCATCGATCAAACAGTCCATATCTGGATTAATTGCTCCACTTAAGAAGTTGCTTCTTCCTGTTTTCTCTCCATCCTTTGAATCTCTGTGTCTCTCTCTCTCTTTTAATTATTACATTCTCTTATTAGTAATATTAATATTTAAAGGCACTTCATTCTACATTTTCGGTAACACCGTTGCACTAACATGTATATAATTATTTATGACTTTGGTTTTGACCCATAACAAACTAACAGTTATGAGAGAGAGAGAGAGAGAGAGAAGGTTACACATTTTAAGGCTATGCGATCTCAAAGCCAGTTGAGATTAGTATATTAGTGCGCTTTCATGAAAGATTCTAAAAGGTGTAATTAAGCTGCCGACTCTGGTGTGAGAGATCACCAATAAGAAGCATCTGGTGTTGAGAACTACTCCTTTGCTGAAGTAATTACTACTGAGTAAATATATTTTGAAGATGGTGTGCATGCTCTATTGGCATTGGTACTATTGCTTGACTACTGCAATATTGTTGCTATCAACGGCGATTGGCACAGTCCGTGGAGGCAACGTAACATACGACGGAAGATCCTTAATTATTAATGGCCAACATAAGATTCTCTTCTCTGGTTCAATCCACTATCCTCGCAGCACTCCTGATGTACGTATATCACTTTCTTCTTCTTCATCTTTTATATATATATATATTCAACTTTTTTTTCTTTTTAATTTGTTTTTGCTTTAGTTGTTCCTGTAAATGATAAAATATGGATTTAGATTTTTTGATTAATCACATATATTTGGGAAAAAAATAAGAAATTGCAAATTAATTAATTAATATAGAGGAATGAAAATCTCACTTGTGTACGTTGAGTAGGTAAGTGATATTTTGTGTTGTTGTAAAAGTCACGTGTTTAGCACTTCCTAATTAATGCATATATATATTTCTTCGACTGTTATTTGAAAAACCCTTCTTATGGCTGAAATTAATTTCTTTTTCTACACTTTCTTTCTCAACCTTCCCGGCACCCAAAAAAAAAAAAAAAATTATATATATATATATGAAAGAAGGAAGGGATTCTGATGGCATGATAAAGACGAGTGCTGTTGTAACTTGTAACCATATTCATGACAATGCTGCTATTGAATATTCCGGATGGAAAATCATATACGCCTATGGTTTTCTCCAACTATTTTGTTTGTTTGTTTAACAAACATGAAAAAAAATTTAATAAATAATTTATTATTATTATTCTTTTTTCTTTTTTCTTTTTTTAACAAAACGTGATCATTTTTCTTGCACTTTTACATTCATAAAACAGAACTGCATAACAAACTCGGTGTACGCGACCCTTAGGTCATGGTTGCAGTTAGATAATCTCTTCTCTTCAGGCCGTTTTTTTTTTTTTTCTCCTTTTTTCCTTTCTTCCCCATAGCCGGATAAAGCTGGTTAATCTGCGGTCCTATAATTTTAAATCCCAAGATACTTATGCAAATATTTGCAGATGTGGCCTTCTTTAATAACCAAAGCTAAGGTTGGAGGCATAGATGTTATACAAACCTATGTATTTTGGAACCTGCACGAACCACAAGAAGGGCAGGTAACTCTTCTTGAATGAGTGAACTGTGGAGTGCCCCGTTAATTTCATTTGATTGACCATACCATCTCAATGGTCTATTTTCTTGCAGTTTTATTTCAGTGGAAGAGCGGACATAGTAAGGTTCGTGAAGGAAATCCAAGCCCAAGGCCTATATGCTTGCCTTAGAATTGGGCCCTTTATTGAGAGCGAGTGGACTTACGGGTAATCCCTTCAGCTGTTATTTTCAAACGCAGGCGTGTAAAAATTTCTAAGAAAAACTAAAGTAAAACATTTACTATTTATTTTCACTTTTTAAAATATTATTTATACACTCACAAATCACTATTTTTCACTGTTTATGTTTTTTTTTTAACAATTTGATCCTCAATTTTTATATATATATTTTTTTCAATTTCAAACTTTAATTATATTGTGATTTGATCCCATTTTGTTTTAATTATTTTATTATTTAAAATTTACTACTTTAATTTGTCATTTTTTTAATATAGTCATATATTATTAATATTATGATCATATTATAATAATATCATTTTTCTACACTAAGCATTTACTATTTATTTATTTATTTTTGAATTAAATTATTAAAATAATATTTTTCTACACTAAGCATTTACTATTTATTTATTTATTTTTGAATTAAATTATTAAAATAATATTTTGACTTAACCACCCAATGATTCAAATAAAAATAATTTTTTATTTTACTATCATTCATTATTTTGTAAATGAATATATAAAAATTAAATTCATATTTTTTCAAAAATAGATATTCTCATCAACATTAAATAAATAAATTATTTGTTCAATTCTATGTAAACTTTTAATAATTGTTATTTATGTTTTTCGATACAATCTTATGAAATACTAAAGCTTTTTTAAAAAAATTATTTAATTTTTTTAATTAATAATTCATGGATTAATAAGGATAAATCCTTTTTCTAAAGGAAAAATTATGAAAAACACAAATAAGAAATAGTTAAATACAAATTTTTTTCACTTTGATTTTATATATTTTATCCAACTCACAGCGTAATGCGAACCAAAAAACTAATTTTTCTCCTACGAATAAAAGTACATAACAAAATTGCACATTAATCATATCAGACTGGCATTGTTACAACATTGCTATAACTAATTACCTAAGATGGATACATTGCATGTCAAGGAAAATCCAAGCATCACGCATGCAGAGAAAGCTAGTGTGTGTGCGCGCCTGTGTAGAACCATTATGAAATTGCTATGTCTGCAGGGGACTCCCATTTTGGTTGCATGACATCCCAGGCATCGTTTTCCGATCTGATAACCAGCCTTTCAAGGTATTAACTGCTTATTACATCAAATTCACATTTATTAAATAATAGGTTGGGTTGACTGGTTACACAAAAGGTTCCGTATTCATTTAGTTCTAACATTGGACTTCTACTCTCATTTTGCTATTGGCAGTATCACATGAAAAGGTTTGTATCCAGAATAGTAGACATGATGAAATCAGAGAACCTATATGCTTCTCAAGGAGGGCCAATCATACTATCACAGGTTAAGTCCGCAAAAAGAGAGAGGAGAGGGGGGGGGGGGTGGGGGTGTGTGGGAAGCAGTATTTATCATTGCTAAAGCCGTTATCATGGTCTAATATTAACCTGTATGCGTACAGGTTGAGAATGAGTACAAAAATGTTGAAGCAGCTTTTCACGAGAAAGGGCCAGGTTATGTTCGTTGGGCTGCAGCAATGGCCGTAAGTCTTCAAACTGGAGTGCCTTGGGTGATGTGTAAGCAAGATGATGCTCCTGACCCAGTGGTAAGTTCCCTCCTCTTTGATTTTTTAGCATTCGGCAACTTTTGCTTCATAGGTAATCCACCATTCTCTGAACTGGAAAAGGTTCAATCTGCTTTCTGGCCTCCTTCCTCGGGGCTGCTTAAGCCTGGCAACCAGGATAGAAAAAGATTAAATAGATTTACAAGCTCCCAAAATTCACTGCATTTAAATCTCTATACGAGGAAATTCAAAAGATTCACTGAATATACAAATCATTGATGAATGACAAGTTTAAAAAATCCACAGAAATTTTTGGTAAAAAGCAGAAATTCTTCCTACAAATTACTTGTCAAAGAATCTGTTAGTCGCTCCAACACCCTCTCAATTTTTATTTACCTTTTTAATACAATTTTGCATCATGTGCTCTAAGCAGTTATTCCAAGATTAAAAACTAAGTCATGCAATTTGCAGATCAATTCATGCAATGGGATGCGATGTGGAGAAACATTTGCAGGACCAAACTCACCAAATAAGCCATCAATATGGACAGAGGATTGGACAAGTTTGTATGTTGTTAATGAAATGCTTTATTTGTTCTTTTCCAAAATCAGATTCTACATTGAGCATTAAACAGAATTCTAAATGGATTATGTCAACAGAGGGAGGAACCAAATAGCATTGACAAGTAATATTAACTTGTTGCAATAAAGATGCCTGATTTGCCACAGTTTAAATATAATCTATATCCTGCAACATTGTAAGAATAGTCACATAAACAACAGTCAGTAGTAAATTTCTAATTACCTTTTATATGTCAATAAATAAAATAACCAAAAAAAGACATACTCAATATGTTTGCCAAGCAATCTAGCAAATGAAATGGTTAACGAAGAGAGTACAACTAATGTCTTCATGTTTGTCTGAAGCTATCAGGTATACGGAGAAGAAACATACATGAGGTCAGCTCAAGACATAGCATTTCATGTTGCTTTATTCATTGCAAAAAAAGGAAGTTACATAAATTATTACATGGTATGATCATAGCAGCCTCAAATATCTTAACCCAATAGTGTCTTTATTTTTTATTCATGATTCAATGTTTTGAAATCTATAGATGGGAGCACAGAAGATTACCCCACATACAAAATTTTTCATTGATTTAATGTAACCATAATCACAAATATTGTGCAGACCTATTAACTTCTTTCCTAACATTCTTACAGTATCATGGAGGAACCAATTTTGGAAGAACAGCCTCTGCATTTATAATAACAAGCTACTATGACCAGGCCCCTCTTGATGAGTATGGTATGTCTAGTAGATTTTGCTATCACATAATTTGTATTTTTCAAATTACAATCTAAACTATTTTAATGATGGGAGCAGGTTTAATTAGGCAACCAAAATGGGGTCATCTGAAGGAATTACATGCCGCAATAAAGTCATGTTCAAAGTTGCTACTCAATGGAGCACAGAAGACTTTTTCTTTGGGCCCACTACAAGAAGTAAGAAAGCTAAGAACTCAAGAATATTTTCTTTCCTGGAGATTGGTATGTCATGTTTGATTTCTTTTGAGAGACATTCGAGTAAATTATTTCTTGACCACTCAACCCTGAAAATTCAGGCATATGTCTTCCAAGGAAATTCAGGAGAATGTGCTGCGTTTCTAGTGAACAATGATAAGAAACAAGAAGTAGAAGTCCTCTTTCAAAGCAATTCATACAAGTTGCCTCAAAAGTCTATAAGCATTCTACCAGACTGCAAGACAGTGACCTTTAATACAGAAAAAGTAAGGCACCTGTACACTCTAATATCAGGACATAATATTTTATTTGCATGTTCTGATTGTTATGAAGGTTTTCATATTAGGGCATTTTGATTTAATTGTCTTAACCACATATTTAGATCACAACAAAAGGATAAGAAAAATACATAGTTATTTGCATTACGCATGCAATGACTGCAGAATTAAGCATCTCAAGATGTGATTCTCTTTCTTTTAATCTTGTTCTTGGACAGGTAAATGCACAATATACTACGAGATCAATGAAAACAAACCAAAAGTTCAACTCAGTTGCGAAATGGGAAGAGTATAATGAACCTATCCCAGAATTCGACAAAACATCTTTGAGAGAAAATAGATTGTTAGAGCACATGAGTACCACAAAAGATACATCTGACTACCTTTGGTACACTTTCAGGTAAATCACATTGAAAAGATTTAAGATTAACAAGGTTGTAGTTAGATGAAATGAAAAGGCCATATGACCTGGATGCTTACCATATGCTACTAAAAATGCAGGTTTCAACAGAATCTCCCCAATGCACAGTCTGTACTTAATGCCCAGTCACGTGGACATGTTTTGCATGCATATGTCAATGGAGTACATGCTGGTATGTTTCTAGATCTCCTAAGCCTTTTTAGGATGGTAAAAAAACATAGCCCATAAATACAATTCAGCAATCTTATTTTCTTTTTTTCATTGAGTAATAGATGAGAAAATGCAAAGCTGGTCAACTCTGTTTAAAGAAGATGGAAGAAATGTCTAATTGCGAAGCAAGTTTGTAAATTTTTTATAGCTATGCATATCAGTTCCTTTGCATGGCTTTAATGTCTATGGTACTTGATGTAGAACCAAAGGAACAAGATCACCAAAAGATAGCTAGTTTAGAATAGAAACCAAAATCACCAACAAAAGAGACACACTCGACCTTGAAGGGACCAAACCAAGAGAGAAACACTTGATCTTGGGGAATCAAGACAAGAGAGGCACACCCGATCTTGAAAGAAAATTCAATATCTTTATTCCAACCAATAATACTACGCTAAACTGAATGTCTGCCTAGGGTGCTTATTTATAGGAACCCAATAAAACAAGCCCTAATAAAAATAGGAAATATAAAAAAACTAGAATATTAAAATTAAACCCTGTATTTCTTTCTAAAATAATATTTCCTATAAGATTTTCTACTTGGGCCCACATCATTCTGATCAAGAACCCTAGAGGAATTCCATGGTGGATGCCAATTGATGTAGAATAACAAAAAGATAGCTAGTTTTGAACAGAAACCACAATCACCAACAAGAGAGACACACTTGATCTTGAAAGGACCAAACCAAGAGAAACATACTCCCATTTGGAAATCAAGGATTTTGGAAGAAAATTCAATGTCTTTATTTTCATCGATGCTAATAGGTTAATTGAATTTCTGCATAGTCACTTGTTTACAGATACACAATACTTGTTTATAGGTATCCAATAAAACAAGTCCTGATATAATAGGAAATATAATAAAACTAGAATATTAAAATTAAACCCTATATTTCTTTCTCAAAAAATATTTCCCATGAGATTTTCTACTTGGCCAGTATCAGCACTATCATGAGAATCCATCTTATTTGACATTTTGAAGAAGCTTTTTCCATATGTACGACCAACTACCAGAGCTCTTTTCCCCTAGTTGATTTTAATTCCAAAAAAAAGAAAGGTTACAGGAACATTTTAAAACAACTAAGGATGAAATGCCTCCCTAGGCAGAGCTTTTGTTTCAACAGGTGCACTTTTATTTACTCTCTTGGCTATGTGTAGTCAACTGTGCACAAGATAATAGGTAGACTAAACAGCCAGAACAACTAATGTACTGGACAACCAATGTGCAAGAGTGACCTAATAAACACAAGCATCTATCAACAGTTGAGTGCTTGCTGGAACGTTCTTCTAACGTGGCTTGCCCATGCATAAAAAGTGGTAAATGAAAATGCATAGTATTTAATAATGCAGGATTTTCAATAAACATGGCATCTGGAATTTTCAGGATAGACAATTTCAACGTCTGATTTCTATTCCCTTCAACGCAGCCTTCTGGTGCTTATTTTTCCAGGTTATCTTTTTTTGCCTAACATAATTAAGTTTTTTTCTAATTAGGCTTTGGTCATGGAAGTCATCGGAATACAAGTTTCAATCTGCAGACTACAGTTCATCTTAAAAATGGGACAAATAATGTTGCCTTGCTTAGTGCAACAGTTGGATTACCGGTACCTTCAGTCCTCTTCTTTTTCTATATAATGACTCAAGAATCTGATGGCTACTTGATAGATATTTAAGGACATACATGTCTCTAGAGAACTTTTGTGTTTGACCATTATAAAAACAAATTCAACATTCATGAAGCAAATTTAGAATTTCCAATAAAATTTTGATTTTTAATTCTACCTTGATATGACATAGATAATACAGCACAGCAGTCATGCTGTATTCTTTTCAACTCTCTTGATACAAATAGTTTTGACTTTCAATACTATGTGACCCAAACAGAAGCTACTTGATTTCCATATAACTTTAACAGGTCACCTTATTTGTAACATAGGATTCAGGAGCATATCTTGAGCGCAAGGTTGCTGGATTACGTAGAGTAAGGATTCAAAACAAGGATTTCACAACTTACACATGGGGATATCAGGTATGCCTTGAGTGAATGTTCACAAATCCTATTTCCCCTAAATTTCAAAGATGGATCTTGAAAGTAATCAGATTATACTGGTATAAACATATTTGACAAGGTTGGGCTGTTAGGAGAGAGGTTACAAATTTACACAGAGCATGGATTTAACAGAGTTAAGTGGAACAAGTTTGGAACCTATCGACCACTCATGTGGTACAAGGTATGGGAATTCATTCACTAACTCTTAGTTGAATTTCATTGTGTTTAAATTTGACATGAAAGGACATAGGGAAAATACAATGAAACTACATATTACATCAATAGCCATATCCTTCACTTGAGGACAAAAGGAAAATATGATGAATTGTAGAAATTTCTCTTTTGATCCCACGCGTTATGGTCAACATAAACACACAATACTATCTAATTCTGGCAAGAGTTCCTCGTTATGTTTGCCAGTACTACAGTATAATCAATTTTTCTCCATGTAAAATTCGCAGACTCTCTTTAATGCACCAGCAGGAAATGATCCAGTGGCACTGAACCTTGGTTCCATGGGAAAGGGTGAGGCTTGGGTTAATGGCCAAAGCATTGGCCGATATTGGGTATCATTCCATACTACCCAAGGAAGTCCTTCACAAACATGGTAATATCAATTTTTTAAGACAAAGAAGAAATACGTAAACACCAAATTTTTTACTGGAAAAACTCTGACCTTTTCAAATAAACATCAAATGACCATTACTCTAACGTGTCTTAAAATTTGACATTTTCTTTTTTATTAATCCATAAAAAAAATGATGTTTTTGTTTCAAGATTGCTTTTAAAGCTCCCCATGCTTTGTCTTTCCAAAGAATTTTCCTAAGAGTATAACTCTTCGATTTTGATCTATATTTTCCTAATGGCTGAACTAATATGTTAGGTACAATGTCCCTCGATCTTTCCTCAAACCAACTGGCAACCTACTAGTTCTACTGGAAGAAGAAAGAGGATACCCTCCAGGGATTACTGTGGACACTGTTTCAGTTACAAAAGTATGTGGCTATGCATCCGAATCGCACTTGGCTGCAGTACATCTTAGTTGTCCTCCAAGAAGAAACATTTCTAGGATCGTTTTTGCAAGCTTTGGAACCCCCTCTGGTGATTGTGAAAGTTACGCTATTGGGAACTGCCACTCATCTAGATCTAGAGCCAATGTAGAAAAGGTGAGCTTTTGTGTGATTTAAATTTTCTAAATTTAAATTCCTAATGCTTCACTTTTTCACCAAGGAAGTTAAGGAAAATTGGAAACAAAAGGGAAAGTTAAGATATTTTGGTTGCTTAATTTCTTCTTTAGCCATTCAAAGCATTGCACTTATAGGATTACGAGTTACTTTTTATGTACTGAAATGGCAGACAACTTAAACTAGGTTGATTCCTCAAAGTTATTTTTTCCATTTACATATTGTTGACAACAAAAGAGATGATTGAGTCCAGTGAGATAGGTACTTTATGCTCTATTGCATAAGCCTTATAAGAATAACAACTTGAAGCTGGTGGCAATTAAGAGAAATCCCTAGCCATTGAAGTCCCTTGCTGAACCCAGCTAAAAGTGAACTATTACCATGCCTATATATGGCAGGAATAGATCACACATCTTTTCTTGCACATTGACTTACCCAATGATAATTATCTATTTTTCAGGCTTGTATAGGGAAGAGAAGCTGTTCCATCCCTCAATCGAATCAATTTTTTGGTGGCGACCCATGTCCAGGCATTCCTAAAGTTCTGCTGGTTGAAGCCAAATGCAGATGATTTGAGTTTCATAGCATATTGGACAAAGAGGCCTCATGAAAATTTAAATTCAACTTTTAAGTGATGTATATCTAGGCAAAATGAGTCAACTACCAAGGTGTCATCATCATTCCAGAACCCCTATATCCTAGTCTAGCTCTCCATTTATTTTTAATTTTTTTGGTTTATTTTTTGTATTTATGCGAGGATAGAATGCACTGTGACTGTGAGGGGCACTACTAGTCTAGAAATCCAGTGCCTAAAAGTTTAGTAGAAGGAATTACCGGGAGACTGATGTTGACCAACATGCAGTGCACATAAAAGCACATGTAGAACATGTAAATGTAATGTTTCTGGTTGTTTTTCTCTATTAAAAATCCGCTTTCCTGGGCAATACAGTAAATTTCTTGATTGAGTAGTTTTGTATACGTTAACTTGCAACCTTATACATCAACCAACTTATATTATGATTTAAAATTCTCCAGCTTGCAAATTTATATGCAGATTTCCTTCTTTTACATCCAGAGAACATTGAAAAAAAATAAAGAACATGAAAATCAATTAATCTATCACAGCTTGAAAGAAGATTGGTACAATCTTGACGACTATAAATCTACACCAATCATGCATGCAACTGATGATAAATACAAACATCTACAATGCATGAATAACTCTATAAACGAAAGTTTACAGAACCCCCCACCTGTGAATGTGTGTAGCTTTGACATCACTCTCTTAAAGTACAGCAAATACCACCATAAATTATTTTTCAGACTCCTCACTTCCAGTGAGACCAAGAGCTGTACCATCCACAAATCTTCTTCCTGAAAATAGAAGCACGTGGAGTTATAACTTTCAAGAAAACGCTAGAACCAAGAACAGCATAAAGATTCTGCAAAAACTAAATTCACTGACGCTTAGGTAATAGCTTCAATTACCACGTTGTGCTTTGCTGCCTCTTTTCTTAGAGGATTTCTTTTCTTTGACAGTCGGTGATGGTAGAAGGGCCTTTTGTGAAGGCAATTCAGCAATGAAAAGTAATGTCTGAGCCCATCCAGCATATTTCCCATACTTGCTCACAAACGCATCTGCCACACGGCCACAGAGCTTAGGTGTCAGGCTAGCTCCCGCAAGCTCAGGTACAAGGTATGTCGTAGCAATCTACTCGATTCACCCGCAAAACAAATATTTTCATATCAGAACGAAAGCAAATGGAAGCTACCAAATAACTAAAATACAATAGAGCATTGTACCCGCCACACGTGCGTATCAACAGGAATGGCATGATGTTGATCCAGAGAAAACAGCGCAATACACGACGCCACCTTTAAACCAACTCCAGGTAATGTACAAAGAGAATCAATCACCATTTGGAGTTCTAATTTTCGAAGAGACTCGAGCCATTTCACACCTCCTTCCGGTTTCAATTGCAAAGCATCCACCGTTCCAGTAACATATTTAGCTCTGCTAATTTACAGCATTAACAAATTAATCAACCAAGCAAGCTTCTTAATCAACAATAACAAATTTAACAAAATAACTAACCTACCTGTAACCAAAACCAGCCTCTCTCAGCTGCTGCTCCGTGACCAAAGCCAGTTTCTCCAACGAAGGAAATGCGTGGAACTCAAAACCTTCAACATTCCCCAAATAATCACCTAATGACGACACGAAATCGACCATTTTAGTGATCCTCGCAATATTATTATTCGAAGAGCATAAAAATTGAATCAAGCACTCAAGCGGATCCTGCCGCAAGACCCTAGCTCCTTTCAAATGCTGTGCCAATTCGGCGAACCGCGAATCGGCGGCGGAGAATTCGTGGCACATTTCGGTTAGTGAGATATTGACGTTGAGGAAATCGAGGAGAGCTGATTGGGCAGCTGATTGGGAGGGAGAATGGTGGATTTGGTAATAAACGTCGCCGTTCTGATGGTGTTTGAGGGAGATTAAGTGGGGACCGAGAGTGCCTGTGTATTGGAGGAGACCGGTTTGTTTCCAACGGAAGGTTTGGCCTGTGGGGAATGTGAGGGGGAGTGAGAGTTCTGACTGGTTCAGGTTGAGTGGGGCCCAGGTTGTTGGTTTGAAAATTATTTTTTGGTGTCTTTTGGAGGAGTACAAGGGTTGTGGTGGTGTTGTTGGAGGAGGTAGGGGTGATGATTTGGTGGTGGTGGTGGAGAGCGGCGGCGTGGGTCTGGCTCGCTTCATTGTTGGTGTTCAGAAGGATTTGAGGGAGTGCATGAACTTTTTATCCATTAATAATTGGAATTTTGCGGCTACATATTCGTTCCCTCCCTGTGTGGAATCTGACCAATGATCTCTCTTCTTGTATCAGGACTATATTAGAGCATATATCAGCCTCAATTTGAATGTTGGAATCATTTAATCAAAATTTCGGTATATTTTGCAATGATTTTGCACCGAGGATACGATAAAAATATTGATTTTTAATGATGAAAAGTAATTATTTAAAAATATATTTTATATTTACTAACATCTCAAACGTATTAATAAAATGTTCAAACTTATTTTATTTACTTAAGGATTGGATTTGAATTAAATCTATATAATATTTTTTAATATTTTAAATAATCTAGGTGTAAAATAAAAACTAATTAACATTGATTATGAAAATTTTGTTTAATTTAATGTGTATTGTGCGTTTATATTTCATAATTGATTTTAAATGTATCCTATAAATATGTTTGATTTTGGTAAAAAAAATTGGTTAATTATTTATACTTTTTAAAGATCTAATTAGAAGAGGATGTTAAATTAATTTACATTAAATGTGTATAAATTTAGTTAACAAGTCTATAAAAGACCATTAACTATTGAGAAAAAAATATATTTTTCAGCAAATAATAAATAATGAAAAAAAAGACTAGGCTTGGAGCCCACTAAAATAAATTATGAAAAAAATTATTCTAAAAGCAAGTACTTTTATTTAAATGAATATTTTGAAATAAACTCTCTTAAAATAAAACAATTAAAATTATATTAAAAAAAAGCCCTAGGGTGCCATACTTTTCAAATAGAATTTTTTATGCTAATATTATTTATTATTTAGAATATATATATAACTTTTAAAAATTAACCTAATATACAAACTTTTAAAAATTAGTCTTCTAATTAATATTATAAAATTTTATTTTAAATTTTTTAAAATTAATTGTTTTTTTATTTTTTTCAATGCAATCTTACAAAATAAATAATTAAATCTATAAACATTTTTTTTGGATTTCTAATTAATTAAAATTTTATTTTAGATTATTATAAATTTTTATTTAAAAATTCATGCATAAATAAAAACAAATCATGTTTGTTAAGAGGGAAACCTATTAAAAAACACAAGAAAGAAATAATTAAGTACAAGAATATGATTTAAAAAATCATAAAGTTAGATGATTTTTTTTTATTTTGATATATTTTAATGGAAAATCATTTTATTTATTATGTCCCATCTGCTAGTTATTCTCATATAATATAAAATATATCCAAACTTGAAAGCAAAGGAGATTTAAAGTCAAGGTAAAATTCAAATTATAAACAATCTAAAACAAGATGAAGCTTCATTGTAGTTAAAATCTGTTACAGTCGAACCAAAACAATATTGTTTTGAATTTTTTTAACTTGAAAAAAAATGTTTTTTTTTAAAGTGATTTTTTATTCACTTTTTTATACTTTAGTCTTTCGAGTTCTCGTTATATACAAAACGGTTTTTCAATTTAATTATCATTACAAAAAGATCTTTATATATATATATATTTTTATGATTGGGTTATGCTTTTAGCCTAGTTACGTGAGCCTGGTTGTCTTCGGAACCATATGGATGGGTTCGGTGCTAGCCCAGCAAATCTTTTTTTTCCTCCTGTTTTTATGCTTTTATTTTTTCATTATCTACTAAAAAAATTTATGCTTTTATTATTTATTTACTCAAAATAATATTTTTTTCCATAATTAATGGTTACCTTTTATAGACTCTTTAACTAAAATTAAACACTCTTCTAATATAAATTGACTTAGCTAATTTGAAATAAATAAATAAATAATTGTATGCTTTTTTATTGATCAAAATAGAAAATATTCCTAGGATATATTTAAATTTAGTTAGGGAATGTATACATTTTATTAAAAATTACATAATATATATTAAATTAAAAAATTTCCACAATTTATTTTAATTAATTTTTACTCTATACCTAGGTTGTTTAATTCTTTAAAATATTAAAACAAAAAATTAATGGTTACTTTTTTAAATTTTATAAACCCATTAACTAAAATTAAACACTCTTTTAATATAAATTGATTTAACGCATTCTTCTAATTTGATTTAAAAAAAAATCAGTAGCATGTTTTCTTTTTTCTTTTTCTATTGATCAAAATAAAAAAAATTAATAAGATATATTTAAATTATGATATATATATATTAAAGTAAATTAATTTTTGCAATTAGTGTTGATTAAATTTTATTTTATACCTAAAATTTTTAATTATTTAAAATAACAAAACATATTACACAATGTGTGGATACGATGTTAATGAAGACTATTTGAATATCAATGAGTAGGCATCAAAAAAACCCATGGATATGGAAGATATGCATGCTTCAGCATTCACCAGCAATCAACCAAAGCAGCAGGTGGCCCAATTAGTCATCTTAAATAAACATGGGATACTATTTTTCACTCTGCATGTTGTTTATCATTAAAAAAAAAAAAGAAAAAAAGAAGAAGAAGAAGCAGCAAATTGTCTTGGTAATTCATAATACCGTGAACAAATAAAAATTTGTTAGGCTCACCGCATCCCACTTACTAAATGCAAAACTTGGAAATTTTTTCATGATTAAGTTAAGACAAATTTATTAATTATCAATAATTTGTAACGAACCCATTTTTTAAACCTTTTTTTATAAAAAAAATCGGAGAGAAAAAACAAGTATGAAAAAACAGACAAAAAAAAATGACTTCCAGCACGTGCCAAACACTCTCCATCATCGCAAACACGTATCATATTCACGCGCTGTTTCGCGTGTTGTGCAGTGGACACTTGCACTCTACATTGTCGGCTAGGACAATAAACCCACCAATAAAAAAAAAAAAAAAAAAAAACGAATAAGGGATAAATTATATGTTCACCCTTTAGATTGACAAATGCTTCTCCTAAGCCTTCATCATTTGAAAATCTTACAACACCATCTCTAATATTTCTAAAAAGTCTCACTCTGAACCCTGATTATTAATATTTCTTTGAGCTTTTGAAGTTTCTCCCCCTTTAAAACCAATGAAAAAAAGGTGTTTGGTAAATTTAAAAAACTATTTTAAAAGTCAATTAAAAATCAAAAGTTAAAAGTTATGAACTTATTTGAATCTTTAAATCCTATCTAAAATATATATGTTTTTACATGACCATAATCGTATCTTTAAAAAACCACAATATCATAACAAAAGTTACAATTATATCAAACGAAGTCTAAATTTATGTTTATTTTAGAAATTAGTTATAGTTGTAGTCGTAATTATAATTAGAAAAAAATATTTGATTAATATATGTAATTGAATAAGAAAACAATTATATTTTTTTAAAGTGCAATGATATATGCTGTTTTTAATAAAATTATATACGAAAAACATATATTGTTTTTAAATTTTATTTTTTAAATGATTGAGAAGGTTTTCTTGAATAAAATAAATTTTAATTATTAAAACATCATTATCGTCTATATGATTTTCAACAATAACTTATTTCATAAAATATATCTTATCTCTCTCTCTATATATACATATGAAAGATACATAAGAAATGTTCTAATTTGTAATACAATTAATAAATAAAGATTCCTAAAAAAGGAAAAAAAACAAAGAGTATGCACATAAAAAGAGGTAAGATAGGGAGATAGATAATTCATTAATTAATAAAAAAGTTAAGAATATAAAAAAGCATTAGCAATGATTTTCCAAATGCCAAATCTTCTAAAATAAAAATAGAAAAATTTTTATCTGTAGCTAACTCATGGAAGAGTGGGGTCTATATAAATTTTATGTATGGTTTGTAGGTTATTAGATAAGTACTAGTTGACTTTATAAATATACAAATCGTTAAATACATTACAAAGCATAGACAAACTTCAAATAATGAATGAAAAATCAGTGGCAAACTATCTTTTAATTTTTAATTTTTTTTTGGTTTTTAAGTGTTTTAGGAGAAATTATCACCAAGACATCGATTTAAAGAAACATTTATTAGAAAAAGAAACACGAAAAAGTAAAAGAAAACATGAAAAAGCACCAAGACAGGGATGTAAAAGAAACATTTATCAGAAAAGAAACACGAAAAAGTAAAAGAAAACATGAAAAAAGCGGACATTTCATTAGGCATTTAAAATGCCACGAAACATATTGCATATTTGGAAAATACTGAAGTTGATATTAAGAAATTTGAAACTATACAATCGAAGTGTAATATTAATGAATTTATAGGGGCTAAAGTACAGTTTGCTCAAACTAAAACAAGATTGAAAGAGTGGGGGAGAGAGAGGGAGAGAGAGAGAGATGCCCCAAATTGATATTTGGCTTTGCAAGAGACCAAACAAAGCAACAGCACAAAGCTCACAATCAGATAGATAGAAGAGAGACAGCAATTCTCTCTCTCCCATTTCCCTCCCTTTGATTCCCATTCAACCAATCAAAGACCCCACAAATCTCCACATTTTCCTCTACTCCAACAATGCCAGCTTCCCCTTCTTTCCCTTCTTCAGGTACTCTTCTTTTCCCACAAACCCCCAAAACCCCTACTCTCTCTCCCTTTCTACGATTCTTACATTTATTACTCTCCCTATCCATCAATCAAATTGTTTTTTATGTAATTTTCTTTTCTTTTTTGGCTTTGATTTTGACAGATGGTAGGGGCAAATGGAAAAGGCGAAAGCGAGGAGATTCTCAAATCGCACGAAAACCACCAAAGCACCACCACCAAGAAGAACCAGAAGAACCCGAAGACGAAGACGATGCCGTTGAGGCAGACGACAATAATAACAACGTCATCGACAGAGAGGATTCCGAAGACCCCAACCCAAATCAACAACCCAACGGACCCGATCCAAACCCTCAAGAGACCGAGGTTCTAATTGATGGTGGGATCCGCATATGCGATTTCCCTCCGGTCACGAGGCTTGCTGTGAACCGCCCTCACGCGTCAGTGATGGCGATTGTGGCAGCTGAGAGGGCGAATTCGGCTGGTGAAAGTAGTAACAGAGGGCAATTAGTGGTGAATTTGGAGAATGTATCGTACGGGCAGCTGCAGGCGGTGTCTGCTGTGACAGCGGACAGTGTTGGGAGTGATTTGGAGAGGAGTGATGGAGGGAATTCGGGGTATGTAGTGACGCCGCCGCAGATTATGGATGGAACGGGTGTAGTGAAGAGGTTTTGGAGTAGAGTTCATGTGGTTCCTATGCATTCAGGTGTGGAATTATCTCTCTTTTACTCTTTTTGCCTATTTGTAGGTTTTCTCACGTTAATGTAGAAGTGAGTTCAAGTGGGTGTTTTCTTATTATTGTTGAGATGAATATGGTAGGGTTTTGTGTGATTAATTAGTGTTTGGGAGATGAATTGATGTTTGCTTTCGCTATGGAAAGTTGGTTTTAGTGGTGGTAGTGAACTTGAGGTTTTGAGTGGCTTTTGGTTTTTAAGTAATAAATATTGAAGGAAAAAGAAACAGCAATTGGGGGGTTTCATTGTTTGTTAGCTCATTTGAATATTTGGTTTTTTCTTATTGGTGCTTGTTGTGTATCAAGAATAATATGTGGTGTTTGCCTAGTAAAATAGAGAGGCAGATTGTATTTGTTGCAATGGATGATTATCTTAGTTGAAAGAGTGGAAGAGTTATTGTGGGCTCTGCTCCAAATTGCCATGGGAACCTGCATTTCTGGAAATTCAGTAGTTTAGGGGAAGCAATGGAGTGCTTGAAATCAGATTAGCATCCCATGATCAAGTGAGTTAGCCAGTTGCCTACCAATTCAAAGCACATGATTTGAAGTTTGTATAGGAAAAAATGTGAAGCAATTTCACACTAGGAGATGTGTTATGGATTACTTGATTGAAGTTAGTAATCACATTGTTGCTGTCATTTAGAGGACCTTAACTTAGATATAACTTACCTTAAAAGATATTGCATATCGTTTGTTTGAATTTTTGCCTTTTGTTTTTTTATGTATGCGTGGGACAGATTGATATTCTATACAAACTCCTTTTTACCTGTATTATATTCATACTTTTATTGATTTGGTATGTTATTGTCGGGATTCTTTGAGAGTAGATTGGTTTTCTCCGGTCTCGGTAAATCGACTGGAGAGACAAGTGGTGCCGCATTTTTTCTCTGGAAAATCTTCAGATCACACACCAGAGAAATACATGGAGTGTAGAAACCGCATCGTTGCTAAATACATGGAGAATCCAGAAAAGAGGCTGACAGTTTCTGATTGTGAGGGATTCATAGTCGGTGTTGATAATGAAGATTTAACTCGAATTTTTAGATTTCTTGATCATTGGGGAATTATCAACTACTGTGCAGCTCCACCAAGTTGTGAATCTTGGAATGGGGGGTCCTATTTAAGGGAGGATCCAAATGGTGAGGTTCATGTGCCGTCAGCTGCTTTAAAGTCTATTGATAGTTTGATCCAATTTGACAAGCCCAAATGTAGGCTCAAGGCAGCTGATGTTTATTCATCATTGTTCAGTCATGATGATGATTTCTCTGACCTGGACAACAGAATTCGAGAGTGCTTATCTGAAAATCGTTGCAATTATTGTTCTCAGTCTCTTCCCTCGGTTTGCTACCAGTCACAAAAGGAGGTAAACCCCCTCATTTCCTTTATCCCTCCTTTTGCTTCCTATCTGTATCAGTTTGTCACTGTTGTGTTGTTCTATCCCTCATTTACCCCTTTGCTCCGTGCGTGCTCATTCTGGTCAGACTCTTACTTTTGAGATCTCTGAAGGCATCAGTATGCATATAGGGAAAAACCTGGAAATGCCTTTGGAAATCTTCAGCCAACCTAAAATCTTTATTTTATTTATCTCTTTTTTTTTTCTTTTCTTGGATCCAATGTTGATTTGTTATTGCTGATCAGCATCTCATTTAACAGGTTGATATACTGTTATGCTCTGACTGCTTTCACGAGGGGAGATTTGTAACTGGCCATTCAAGCTTGGATTTTATTAAGGTGGATTCAACAAAAGATTATGGTGACATAGATGGGGAAAATTGGAGTGATCAGGAAACATTACTGCTACTTGAGGCAATGGAAATTTACAACGAGAACTGGAATGAAATTGCAGAGCATGTTGGCACCAAGTCAAAAGCTCAATGCATCCTCCACTTTCTCCGTCTGCCTGTGGAGGATGGCCTGTTGGAAAATATTGAAGTTCCAAGCATGTCCAAGTCACTCAGTTCATCAAATAGAGATGATCACAGAAGACCACATGCAAGTTCAAATGGTAATCTATCAGCTGTTTCTATCGCTTATGATTTTTCTCACTTCAGAATAATGGTGATGTATTTCTAATATTGTGTGGTTGCATTTCTCTTTGTTTCTGTAGGATCCTGCCTCCAAGGTGCTGATGCTGAAAACAGGCTCCCTTTTGCGAATTCTGGCAATCCAGTTATGGCATTGGTAGGTCACTGTCTTTATGTCATGCTGTATTTATGTTTACTTGAAAGCATATGAAGTATAAACAGCTCAATTTGGTTGGCAATGCCATTTATGCTAAAATGAACTGCTAATTTTATATATTCTGACATTTTTTGGGTTTTCAATAGCAACACTGAAGGCCTCAAATAGGTAACCTTGTTGCATGCTCATTGCGGGTTCTGGTGTTTGTTTTTTGTGCTCGCCTCATTGTTTACTTATCATTTGGGTGGTTGAATAATCAAAATAAAATGAAAATCAAAACCAAGATCTTGTGAACATTAGGAAAAGATAACCTAGGAACATGGTGGATTGAATCTCAGTACCTTTTCAGTTTCAGGCTAGATGCTGAGACTAGCATCTAGCATCATTCATAAAGCTCTTGTGAATAGCTATTGTGACACCTGTTTTGAAAGGTAAAAGTCATTGTTAGCAAAACATAAAAGCTGAAATTGACTCTGTAAACCTTTCTTCAACACCACTTTTTTAAAAAATGATTTTTGCATTAATTGCTCTTTTAATAATTTTGAAATTGAAGAGCATTCGGGCTTATATAGTAACTTGGGATTTGCTGTAATTACTCTTAAGTTATATATTAACTTGGAATTTTGCTGCAATTACTCCAAGTTGGGTCCTAAATTTATATGTGAATTATATTTCCAATTGAGCTTATTTGGCCTTCTTCTTGCCCTCGGTTTCGTGAAAAAATTACCATTTGATTTTTTGAGCAATAATTGATACTCATCATGCTTGAGCTCTAATCAGTGCTACGGTGTATTTAGAGACCACAATTCCTGTGTCTATTTAGATGTTTGGTGCGATGTCTTTTCCAGTGGTCATATAGAATCAGCCCCCATATGATAAGATCATTAATTTTAGAGCTCTACCTTACTTTCATATGGATTGGCGAAATTATTTTACCTTTTTCTTTCTTGATTTACTTCATCACTAATCCTTCGAAGCTGATCTTCTCCATCATTAGCCTGCTTGGAATATTATCTTTGACAGTGCTCCACTTCTGTTAGGTTGGTTTCTATAGAATGGCTTTCACATATGAACCCTCAATTAACAGTACTCTAATATCACCCATTTTTGTCACCAATTCCTTTCTGTCCTCGATTTTCCTAGAAAATTCATGTGGTTGTTTTTTCCAACCCACTGGCCTTCTACTTTGGCATTAATTTCTTTTGGCCCAACTCTGCCAACCCGGAGATTTCTTTCCCATCTAATAAAAGAGAAGATGCAGGAATATCAGGTATGGGCAGTCTGATAGGGTAGATCTGGATTGGTATGTAGTTTTGTGGTGTTAGGACTTGGTAAAAATGGGGTCTTGGGGTTTGGGGTTACATTAGGGTTCACAGTTTGTTGGTTGAATTGGGATCGGATTGATTGATTGATGTTTGCGAGCAAAATCTTTCATTGGCCTTGAATTAATTGGACTAGGTTGCTTTTTTTTTTTTTCCTGGCAGCAGTTACTTTTATAGTTTAAGGGATGAAAAATTCAGTTAGTGGAAAGAAGAGTGGAGAATGGAGATATATGTGGGAATGTAGGTTTATTGTTGGTAAATGGTGGAATAACACAGCATGAACTAACTTGTTTCAAAAGTTTTTATTGCTTGATATTTTGTGGATCTATCTAATCAGCAGAAATGTTTTTGTAGGTTGCTTTTCTGGCCTCTGCTGTTGGACCAAGAGTTGCTGCAGCCTGTGCTCATGCATCTTTGGCAGCATTGTCTGAGGATAACAGGTGGGTGTATGTCTGTCTTAGAAAATGAATCTACTTTTGTTTTTTTATGGGGCGTCTGTGTACAAGTGATTTCTCGGGGATTTGGCAGTTTGATTCAGAGGTTAAATCTGTTTCTGCTGTTCTTTCTCCCTCTAGTATTAGGAACTGCTGAGAAGCGATGCTTTTAACCTAATAAAAGTTCTTTGATATTGTTAGCCATTATGAATACACATGGCTTCTGTCCCACTAATGAAATTAACATGCAATAGAAAATTTTTTATTGCTTTTATGCTTACATTATGCTTGCACGTTCTGAATCCTTGTCGAATTCAATTAATTTGCTCCCTTACATTTGAAGGATAAGTTCGGATAGATTACATGGTAGAGAAGGCGGTTTTCATGGAGAAATCGCAAATTCAGTTCAACAAAAAGGTGGCGCATAAGTTGCTTTCCCTGTTTTAATTATATTACTCTTCCTCATTTTTGTTTTCCTTCTCCTTCATCTAACATTAGCAGAATATTTTTGTGGATGATACTTCAGAAGATAGCCAGCATGGCTCACGGGGTCAAAATGGGGCTGAGGTGGCTCCTTTGTCTGCTGAAAAAGTTAAAGCTGCTGCCAAAGCTGGCCTTGCTGCTGCAGCAACAAAGGCTAAACTGTTTGCCGATCATGAAGAGAGGGAAATTCAGAGGCTATCTGCTAATATAATAAACCATCAGGTAGAACTGTTGCCAACATTAATTGCTTCTTTACTTCCATCCTATGTTACTTCTTTCTTAGTATGTGTATTTTTATGCCTTCCTTGTGTGTTCAAGGCGAAGAGGGCACTGTTGAACCTCTTGCGTACAACCTTTATTTTGTCATTCTTTTGTTGGCTGCACATATTTTCTCAAGCAAGATAACTATGCTTTAATCACTTGTATTTAACTTGCATATTTATAGTGAAACTGAAAAGATGATGGTATTTTGTTCGGCTTCACTATATAATGGTTTATGATTAACCCATTAATAAGTTGATGATATGGTAACAGTTGAAGAGATTGGAGCTTAAGCTGAAGCAGTTTGCGGAAGTGGAAACCTTTCTAATGAGAGAGTGTGAGCAAGTAGAGAAGACAAGGCAGAGGTTTGCAGCTGAGCGGGCCCGCATGCTATCTACCCGGGTAGGACCTACAGGAGCCACTTCACAAATGAACCCAGCAGGCGTTGCTCCTTCAATGGTTAACAATAATGTTGGCAACAATAGGCAGCAGGTGATGCCTTCCTCCTCTTCACAGCCAAGCATTTCAGGATATGGCAACACTAACCCAGCCCATCCACACAACAATCAACAAGTCCATCCTCACATGTCATATATGCAAAGGGGACAGCCACAGAACATGTTTCCGTTAGGGCCAAGGCTGCCCCTGGCAGCTATACAGCCATCCTCATCAGCTCAGTCAAATGTCATGTACAATGCCTCTGGAAATTCACAGCCTAACCTCAATCAAATGCTGAGGTCTGTGTCAGGCCCTAGCTCTGGTTTAGGTTGAAACGGAGGATGTGATGTGACTTCGGAGTTTTATGGTTGCATTGGTTACTCGCTCACAATCTGTACTGCAGCTGGTGTCAAAGGATGAAAATGGATGGAGCCAAGAATGTTTCATCCGTCTTGCATTGTAGTTTTGATCTGAATATAAAATTATTCTGTGTAGTTTGTAGGCTTGTAACAGGTCTCAGTTGGTGTAGCAGTTGTATCGAATTATGAGCACTGTCCATTAACTAGGAAAATTTATTTTCAGAACAAATAATCCAAGATATAGAATGCGTCGTGAAAATGGCATCTGATGACTATTTATATGGTTGTTTTCTTATCTTTTGCAGATTAGTAAATAAATTCTTCTCTAATTTCTTTTTGGCAAATTTTGTTTCTTCTTCCGGAGGTGCACTAATGATTCATTATGCAATTCCTGTCTCCCTCGTGTCTATTCTTTTCTTTCTAGTATATCCTACAGATAAGCTCCATTTCATTTCTCAATATCATGTGCCTGTGGCCATGAAGAGGAAAGGAAAAGAAACAGGAGAGAAAAAACAACAAAGTTTGTGAGTAGTAAATACTTTAATTACATGAATTTAAAAAATGGTTAAACAACGTAAATTTTCAACCCAAGCATCTCATGGAAGTTATGCAGGAATTTCCTCTTTCTGAAAAGGAGTCCTGAGGTGGTGGTCTTGGGAAAAGTAGAGGAATGAAGAGAGCAAAAAAGGCAAGTAGCGCGAGGGATCAGCGTAAAGGGCATGATGTGGACCTACATGTGGAAATGGAACAGGGAACCCATAGCTGGTATGATAAACAAGCCCAGCATCATGATTCACAAATGAAAAGTGATAATGGCTACCGATGCTCTTGATTTGTCCCACTTGGGCCTTCAGCTAAATTCACTCTGTAACGTATCTGACCCAATTCCATTTCCTGGTTAGATTTTCCTTCCCCTCTTTCCATCTTAGCTTCAAGATTTGGATCATTCTTTACTGGCTCAGTGTATGTCAAAGAAATGTCATCTCTGGTGGATGACACCAAGACTTTATATTGCCATCAGAGGAAAGATTACGATCCCGATAAACACATTCACAGATACTAATCTCAATTTGGACAGAAATATAACCGATCTTAATAGAAGGATTAATGTTTTCTGTTAGTTTTCATCATATTAATAATTAATAAATATGTTAAAGTAAAATAGACTTTCACCATAGCTAAGCTGCTATTTTAGCTTTTAGTGATTTGTTTTTTAGTCCCCATGTTATAATTTTTTTTAGTGTTTAAAATTTTTATATTTGATTTTTGTTGTAGGAATATTTTTTTAGCTTTTAGTGAAACTTTTCATTCTATTTTGATCTCTGTTTTGTGATTTTTTTTTTAAAATTTTGGTCATCAAATTTTTATTATATTTGATTTTTATATTTACTACATTAAAATTAAATATAGTTTTACTATCTTAGGTTTTTTTTTTTGGGTGGTCTTTAGTGAATTTTTGTTTTAATTCTTGTTTTGTGATTTTTTTTTTGGTCATTAAAGTTTTACTATATTTGATTTTGTTCTTGCTTTATGTATAATGAGTTTTTTTTTAGTCTTATTATTTATAAGCTCTATTTGGATTTTAGTGAAAGCCTTTTTTTTAGTTATTATTTTATGATCTTTACTTTCTTTCTTTTTTATTGTTTAAGTTTTGTGGTGTTTAATTTTTATCCCTATTTTTTTGCCAAATGAGTTTTGAAACATGTCAATTTCATTTTGATTTGATAAAGTTTTTTTTTTTTTTCCTATCTTTTTGTTTTAGGTGATCTCTTTCTATCTCATTAACAAATTACAAACGAAGAATATACGGTGAAAATTAACAATTCAAAATTGAAAAAACTATTATATCATTATTTTAATTATCAGTTATTATACATATTAATAATAAAAAGCATGTTTGCATCAAATGATATTTAATTATCAACATTATATTGCATAACTTTGCAAACTTTTTTTTAGCTAATCCTGCAACAATGCATATGATAAATGCTTTGGTTCTTCTATTCTCTAATTTTTGTTTTAATTCTTGTTTTGTGATTTTTTTTTGTCATTAAAGTTTTATCATATTTGATTTTGTTCTTGCTTTATCTATAATGAGTTTTTTTTTAGTCTTATTATTCATAAGCTCTATTTGGATTTTAGTGAAAGTTTTTTTTTTTTTAGTTTTTTTTTTTTATGATCTTTACTTTTTATTTTATTATTATTTAAGTTTTTCTTGTGTAATTTTAATCCCTTTTTTTTTTTTTCCAAATGAGTTTTGAAATATTTCAATCTTATTTTGATTTGATAAAGTTTTTTTTTTTTTTTTATCTTTTTATCTTAGGTGATCTCTTTCTATCTCATTAATAAATTACAAACGAAGAATATATGGTGAAAATTAACAATTCAAAATTGAAAAAACTATTATATTATTATTTAATTATCAATTATTATATATATTTATAATAAAATACATGTTTGCATCAAATGATATTTAATTACCAATATTATATTGCATAATTTTGCAAACCTTTTTTCAGCTAATCCCGCAACAATGCATATGATATATGCTTTGGTTCTTCTATTCTCAATTTTTTTTTTGCATGTTATTTTTAAATAATTACTTTAAACTCTGTATTTTATTTAGATAAATACGTAAAAATAACGTGAGGCTCATCTTATGATAACGCGCTAAATATATGCTAGTAATATCTCTATTGAATAAATTGGACATGGTCTAATTACGTTCCGTTCCATGGTTTTGGGGCCGACTCATTTTTCCCTTTCTTTTGACCTTGAGTAAGAAAGAAGCAGAGTCGAGGGTGAGATCGTCGCATCGGTCGGCATCTTGACGCCAGAGATTCTTGACCAAACAACTGAAAATTACTCATGATCACCACTAATTAGTCCACATTTTTGTGTGCTGATTCTTTCAATCAGTTAAGGGTCTTTTCTTTTGTTGTTTCTTATGTTGTACCTCGTATCCCTGGTTGGCTCTTGCTTGCAAATCTGTTTCCCCTGGAAGTAGTGCACATGGTATATTAATGAGTCACACATAGCGTGAAAGAAGAGGAAAGAGAGAGGCCAAGAACTTACAGTTTCCAGGATCAAGATAAGCCAATGAAACAAGCAAACCTGGTCCTACGTCTGGTAGGAACTTTCTCCATCCAGGTTCCTATCACTGTTAAAAGAATCAAACATGTACGTTAAGAGAGTTTCTCATTTATCCGTCAAATGTCATGTACAATGCCTCTGGAAACTCACAGCCTAACTTCAATCAAATGCTGAGGTCTTTGCCAGGCCCTAGTTCTGGTTTAGGTTGAAACAAAGAAGGTGATGAAACCTTGGAGTTTTATGGTTACTTCCATTAGTTACTTGCTCCCAATCTGTTCTGTAGCAGCTGTGGTCAAAGAATGAAAATGGATGGATCCAAGAACGTTTCATCTGTCTTGCCTCGTAGTTTTGTCCTGGAAATAAAGTATTCTGTGCAGTTTGCAGGCTTGTAACATATCACAGTTGATGTAGAATTTGTATCGAATTATGAACGCTGTCCATAATTAACTAGGAAAATTTATTTTCAGAACAAATAATCCAAGATATAGAGTGTGTCATGACATGAAAATGGCATCTGATGACTATATTTATATGGTTGTTTTGTTATCTTTTTGCAGATTGGTAAATAAATTATTCTCTATTTTCTCTTTACACAATTACTTTGTTTCATCTTCCAGAGTTGCACTAACGATTCATTATGCAATTCCTGCTTCTCCCTCACTATTAATTCTTTTCTTTCTTGTATATCCTATTGATAAATAAAATCTTTTCCATTTCTCGATAGCCTGTGCCTGTGGCCATAAATAAAAAAGGAAAAGACACTGAAGAAAACAATAGCAACAACTGAGGGTAGTAATTACTTTAATTACATGAAATATAAAACATGGCTAAACAGCACAGTTTTACAACCTGAACATCTTATGCAGGAATTTCCTTTTATGACGAGGAATCCTGCTGTGGTAGTCTTTGGAAAAGTGGGAGCAAAGAAGGGCAAGTTGACAAGCCTAAAAAGCATGATTTGGACATATATGTGGAAACGGAACAGAGTTCCTGTAGCTGGTCTAATAACCAAGCCCAATGTCATAATTCACAAATGAAAAATGACAAAGACTTCTGATGCACGTGATTTGTTCAACTACTCTGGTAGCGGGACATCAGCTAAATCCTCTCTGTAAGGTACCTGACCCACTCCCATTTCCTGGTTAGATTTTCCTTCTCCTCTTTCCATGTTAGCTTCAAGATTAGGATCATTCTTTACTGGCTCAACGTATGTCACAACAGTGTCTTTTCTGAAGGTCAGGTAGATGACAGAAAGAATATATATTGCCATCAGAGGAAAGACTACGATCCCGATAAACACATTTCCAACTTTGGGCAGATTGTTATGAGTTAGCCAGTCCACAAAGCCTGTGCTTAGATAATACACATTGATTCCAATGATCATCAATCCCAGAATCCATGAGATGACAATTATCTGCAAACACGTAATGAGCAGTGTATTAGGTGCTGCACAAACAAAATAGATATGATTTCAACTGAAGGATATCAGAAGAGCTTATATAAATAGAGATTTTTTAGGCTCGAAAAAATAATTAAAAAAAAAAACTTAAAACACAACTTACATAAATCGAGTTCTTGTGCGGTCCCATCTTGGTGTTACTGCTGCTGAATTTCAGAAGTGGGATGAGTGCAAATGGAAGTTCAAAGGACAAAATCATCTGAACAGGAAAAAAAAAATAATATTCATCGTAGTAACAATTAGCTTAACTATGAAATATGACTTATGGAAACATAATTATCATTTCGTCTACCGATGCAATAATGATTAATCGGCCTGCCCCTGATGATCCACCTATAATTGAGACTAGGAGACTTGGTGTAATGGCAATGCACCTAGTCATAAGGTTCCTAACCCATTTTCTCATCTTCAAATCCAAGAAACCCTGAGAAATTTAAATACCAAACATATAAACTTGCAAGTCTTGAAATATTGACAAATATGAATAATATTATATATCATGATGATATCTTGACACCTGCATGATATATTGTCCTGCATAAGTGCCTGTGATAGTAGAGCTTTGTCCTGAGGCTAGTAATGCAATGGCATAAATGGTCGAACTTGACTTTCCTAGCACTTCCTGCAAATGTAGATCACTCAGAAATGTAAAAGATTTTGTGCTTATTTTATTTGTGTGTGCCTACGTAGATTTAAATATTCATTTTTTTAAAAAAGGATATGATTATTTATTCGGACCTTGAGTAAGAAAGAAGCCCCGTTGAGTGTAAGATCATTGCATTGATCAGCAGTTTCAGATGAGAGATTCTTGCCCATGCAAACAGTACCCGATACAGAGATAATTGATACATTGATTAAAAATGCTACAAGTAGTGCAAATCCGCTCTCTAACAGGTAATATCGACATGCATCCTGTAAATAGGAAAAAATGTGGATCACATTTTATTACACTTCACCAAACATATCATCCTAAAAGATTAATTCTTTTGACTTTATTGTTGGCTTACATTGATGCCACGAACAGAATTGGGTACTTTCCTAGAAAGCACTAGAGCAGAATGAAGAAAGAGGTTGTGCCTGTAGAGGGAAAAATAGAAATGGAAGATAGTGATGTATATACTTTTGCAGAAGGAAATGGCTATGCTTATACTTGCAAGTACAACCTTATAATTATCTTAAAACTTTTATTTGCAAAAATATTCGATGGGTAATTAATTAAGTGAAAACAATATAATAGAAGATGGAAGGAATCTCACGGCATGACAAGGGCTCCAAGTAGAGCAATAGCATCACCAGTTGCTCCTTGGCCTGAGAGCTTAGGGATAAACATGCCTTTAAGCACACCAGATGCTGGAGGCTTTACATAACTAAGTTCACCAAAGAAACAGGCTGCCATTGTAAACACCAGCACTGTGATCAACAGCTCCAGTTTCCTCGCCTGGCCAGTAGACAAAACGCTTAAAAGAATTGAAATGTGATCAATTGTTTCAATGGAAGTGTATTCGTCAGCAAAATACACATATTTTATAGTTTGGGAAATAAAACTGAAACATTTTGATTTGTAACCAAGAATATCAATTTACTGTTCTACACATATTTTATAGGTACGTTTTTTCTCGTCGTGTAATTTTAAGTCACATTTTATGCACACACTTTTCCCCTGCCTTTCAGTTTTCCTTTATTTCTTCCCGCTTCTCACTATCGTACATATGCTCTTTCTTTTTTCTAAACGAAGGCTACAGACGAGAGAGTAAAGAAAACTAAGACTATGTAAGAAAGAAATTTCTGAGAATGGATTCGTCTAACATACCCAAATGATTAAAAAAAAAACCGAGACAACATAGTTTGGTAATTGGTAAGTATATCGGTTGAAAGAAATAGAAATTTTTTTTTATGATTTTTTAGTTTTCAGGATCCAAATTGATAAACGAGAATAGGACAAAATGTTTACGCTATTTTTTATAGTATATATTATACAGAATGTCGACACTAATCGACTTGTGTAGTGTAGTAGTTAAAAATCGTAACCTTTTGAATTATTTCGGAAGTTGACGAAACAAATAGTAAGAAAATACAATTGGCATCAAATAATAATTCACACTTCATGTATTGACAAGATTCATGACGATCAAAAAGTTTTATATCTGAGAGAACGTGTCTAAGTTTCAAAATAGTTGGTGACAATTATCATTTTAAGGGAGCTGGCATGAGTCCTAATCTCTACCAACAAAAAAATCCGGAGGGTAATCACATTTATAAACTATCCCTCTTAATTACTTCAGATCATCCATTTTTTTACAGTTTGCTTCGAAGATTACATTTGTCAAATTTACACTTTCTTTGTAAGAGTTGGTGACGTGTGGTAATGAAAGGACACATCCTTTGAATTTGAGAAAGTCAAGAAGCATGGTTTCAACATATTTAAGGAGGTTTTTTTTTTTTCCCTGAAAAAATATGTGAGAATTGATTTTTTTTTTTAATCAGCTGGGAATAGAAATGGATAATGACTAGAATAACTACCCCATATTTTTGGAGGCCAAGAAGTAGGAGAGTGCTAAAACCAGTCATGAGAACTCCTGCCCAGATTGGGATGTGAAATAGTATGTTCAATGCAAAGGCTGTTCCGATCACTGTCCAAACATATAAATTCCAAAAGCAAAAGTTAAATATTGCATTTTATAGATTGTGATAACCAATTAAAATTTAAACTTCTGTCCAGGAAATTTTTAATGGTAATCAAATATATACATGCCTTCAGGTATATCAGCAGCTATGACAGCTACCTCTGCTAGCAACCATAGGCACAGTTTCACCAACTTTGGGTACTCAGCCTTGCACAACTCAGATAGGTGTTTACCTGAAAATCCAATGCCGCAGTACAAACATAAATAGTAGTAGTAGTATTCAATTATAGATTTGATTCATGCCATGAGTTTAACTATATGAAATTTTGTTTAGAAACAAATTGGATATAGTTGATTACTTTCACTTCTTAATTAAATCACGTACCGGTGCTTACACCAAGATTTGCAGCTAGAGATTGGATTATGAGAGCGAAGATCAAACCAATAAGTATCACCCATAACAGCTGAAAATTACACGTGAACCCAACTTATTAGTCTACATTTCTGTTTGCTAATTCTCTCTTAATCTTTTCTTTTTCGGTTTTTTTCTTTTTACCTCGTATCCATGGTTGGCTCCTGCTTGCAAATCGGTTTCCACTGAAAGCAGTACACATGACACCGTTAATTTATAATATATTTACGAGTCATACAAAGCTAGAGATAGGACAGGGGCTTACAGTTTCCTGGATCAAGATAAGCTAATGAAACAAGAAAACCGGGTCCTACGTATGATAGGAACTTCCTCCATCCAGGTTTCTATATAAAACATTCGTTAGAAGAATCAATTAAATCAGTTTTTTTTTCCTTCAAAGTTTACCAAAACGTAATAATATAAGTGGTAAAGAAACCCAAAAAGGAGCTAAACATGAGAGAATGATATTGACCTGCTGGTCCGGATGGCCATGATCAATGCAAGGTGGGGACTGGCCATCCAAGTTAAGAGCTGCTATACGGTTGCTGTTTCCCTTTGTTGTTGGAACAATCTCAGACACCAGCTGCTCTTGCTGCAGGCTTGCCATCTCTCTCTTTCACTTTCTTTACCTGTAAGAGATGAGGGAATTTTTGGGTTTGGATATATGATAAATTCCGTTCGCTACCAAGTGTCTTCACAATTTAACTTGAATGCAATATTTTTCAGTGAACTGGTTCTCTTATTTATAGTGCAGGCCATGGGTGGAGTCAAATTAACGATTTTTTATGAAGATAATTAATTTAAAATGCTATCAAATGAGTAAGGATTGTTAGAGGGGGAGGAATTCTAGAGGAGAAATATTTGTAACACTCACTTCACTCACATGCTTTCAAATGCCAAGTACATGGGGGTGTATATAGGTACTCCTAGCTCTAGTTACATGAACTATAATTAATATCCTAATTAATATCCTATACATGAAGGATAATAAATACTAAATATATGAATTATCCCTTACAAAGTACCTACATTCTTAATAAACATAATCACTTAAAAAAAAAAATCAAAAGACACATGTATCTAGTCAAGAGAGAAATTTAGAAAATTCAAATTATTTAAGTTCAACACTCCCCCTTAATTTGAAATTTTCTTCTTCACTCCAAGTCTTGCTCTTAATCTTCGAAAATCTTCAAATTTGAGTGGCTTTGTTAAAATATTGCACTTTGATCATAAGTCTTCACATATTTGAGCTCTACTTCTTTATTGGCAATGCTCTCTCTAATGAAATGATACCTCGTGTCTACATGTTTGCTTCGTCATGAAACATTGGATTCTTAGCAAGTGCGTGTGCATACTTGTTGTTAATGCAAATTTCTATATGTTCTTCTTACAGCAAATATAGTTCTTTCAACAATTTTCTTAGCCAAATAACATGACAAGTACAAGTGGTTGTTGCCACATATTTAGATTCACAAGTTGAAAGTGTTACAATGGATTGCTTCTTTGAACTCCATGAAATAGCACAATCACCTATGAAGAATATAAATCCACTTTCTATCACCAATATCTCCCACATAATCACTATCACAAAATCCCATAAGCTTGAAATTATTAGAAAAAGAATAAAATAACCCAAAGACAAGTGTACCTTTTAGGTAACAAAGAATTCTTTTAGCTACTTTCATATGAGTAGAGGTAGGAGCTTCCATGAAAGGACTCACTACTCCAACCACAAAAAGAATATTGAGCCTTGTACATGTCAAATATCTCAAGCTTCCCACAAGACTTTTGAAAAGAATGGGATCTTCTTTTTCTCTATCATCAAACTTTGACAATTTCACTCCAACTTCCATGGGCGTGTTCACAAGATTACAATCAAACATTTTGAACTTCTTTTGCATAGCCTTCTTGAGAGATAAAGATACCTTCTTCCATTTTCTTCATTTCTAGGCCCAAATAGTATGACATATGCCCTATGTCGGTCATCTCAAATTCAAGTGAAATAGCCTTCTTGAATTCTTCAAATAGATTTGGATTGTTACCGGTGAAAATAAGATCATTGACATAAAGATAAACAATCAAGATATCTCCATTAGCATGAATTTTAACATAAAAAGCATACTCATGAAGGCAACGAACAAACCTATTGTCTTGAAAGTACTTGTCAATGTGATTATTCCATGCCTTTAGTGTTTGTTTCAAACCATACAAAGCTTTCTTTAGTCTCGAATTTTATCTTCATGCCCTTTGACTACATAGCCCAATGGTTGCTCAATGTAGACATCTTCTTCAAGATAACCATCATGAAAAGCTGACTTTACATCAAGTTGATAAACTTTCCACTTCATTTGAGCTGCCAATGAAATGAGCAAACAAATGGCCTACATATGGGCAATGGGTGCATAAACCTCTTCATAGTCCATTCCATACTTTTGCTTATAGCCTTTAGCAACGAGCCTCGTTTTGTATCTCTCCACTTCTCCATTAGCATTTTTTTTTGTACTCCCATTTAACTCCAATAGCCTCGTGACCCTTAGGAAAAGTTGCTAATTCCCAAGTTTGTTCTTCTCAATTGCTTTGATCTCTTTATCCATTTCTTGTTTCCACCTACTAGCATTCATAGCTTCATCAAAGGTTAAAAGCTCACTATCTATAAAAAGAAAATGTAAGTTATTAAGATCAAGAGTAACTTCTTGAGTATTTCTATAAATCTCTCTTATGTCTTTCATCTTTTAAGGCCTTTCACTTGAGCTTTCTCCATGAAAATGAGAAGTAGATGAAAGAGGTGGAGTTGTAAGTAGAGTTGTTTATTATATAGGCACGTCTTCTTCTTCCTCTCCAAGAAATCATAAACTTTTTATTCTTGGGCCTCCCAATTCCATGTTGATTCTTCATCAAATTCAACATCTCAACTCGCCAGACACCTTGCCATTACTTGGTTATACAACTTGTAGCCTTTGGAATTTGAGTCGACCAATGAAGACATGCTTTATGCTCGCGATCATTAAGCTTGGACCTTACTTGGTGTGGTACATGAACATATACAATGCTTCCAAAAATTGTCAAATGGTTAACATTAGGCTTTTTCCAACCCATGCTTCTTGAGGGGTTTGATCTTGAACATTTCTTATTGGAGAACGGTTGGACAAATAAACCGCACAAGAAACAGACTTCGATCTAAAACTCCTTGGGCATACTTTTTGCTTTTAACATGTATCGTGCCATGTTAAGAATTGTTCTATTCTTTCTCTCTGCTATACCATTCTATCATGGGGATCTAGGAACCATTAAAGGATGATGGATCCTATGAGTTTCATAAAATTCATCGAATTCTTTTGAAGTGAATTCACCTCCTCTATCGGACCTCAAAGCTCTAGTTTTGTAGCCACTCTCCTTTTTCAATAAGAGCCTTGAAGTTTTTGAATGCAACAAAAGCTTTCGATTTCCGTTTCAAGAAATAAACCTAAGTCTTTCTAGTAAAATCATCAATGAAGAACAAAAAGTACTTACTTTTACTAAGTGAAAGTGGATTTATAGGTTCCCACACATCGAGTATGAACAAGTTGAAATGGCTTGGTTGCTCTTGAAGTGGCTTCTCTTGGAAAACTCCTTCTAGCATGTTTGCCAAGAAGACAAGCTTCACATAATTGATTGGGATCGTTGATTGAAGGTATACCATTCACCATTTTCTTTTCTCCCATGACTTTAAGTGCTTCAAAATTCAAATGGCCAAATCTCATGTGCCAACACCATGATTCATCTTTTGAAGTAGCCTTCAAACACTTTGATTCAATTGTCTTGAGATTCGATATAAAAATTCTATTTCTTGATATAAACACCTTAGCAATCAAATTGGCATTTAGATCTTTAAGCCAAAGACATATCTTTCATGAGAATTTCAGAGCCCTTTTTAAGAAATTGGCCCAAACTCAAAATATTACTTTTTAATTTAGGCACATAATAAACTTCAGTGATTAGTTTATGGCTACCATGTTTGGAAGAAATTAAAATTATACCTTTCCCTTCAAATGGAATTTGGGAAAAGTCTTCAAAAGACACCTTGCCTTTCATCTTTTCATTAAGTTGCACAAACTTCTCTTTGCTTCCACCCATGTGATTGCTTACTCCATTGTCCAAATACCATAAACTATTGGCATCTATTTCTTCCTCCTTTAGTGCTAGCAACAAAGTTGACTCCTCAATTTCTTGCTTGTCATCACCAAAAAGATTAACTTTCTCTTCAACATTTTTATTGACACTACGACACTCCTAAGAATAATGGCCAAAGTTATGACAATTGAAGCATTCAACATTTGACTTATCATACCTTCTCTTATTTGATCTTTGTCAGTAGCCACGCCCTCTTCCTCTTGTTCTTCCAAGACCCCTAGGTGATGAGTGGCTTTTCTACTCATTATGTGAATTGTTACCATTACTACCTCTTCCTCTTCGGCCATAACCATGTCCTCTTCCTCAACCATATACTCTTTGACTCTTTTCTCTCTTATCATCCTTCAAAAAGCCTTAGCTTTGAGAACTTACTCTAAAGACTCTTTTTATCGCCTTGTGAAATTCTCTTCATAGGCTTGCAAAGAACCCTCTAATTCTTTAATAGTTATCAAGTCTAAATCTTTTGACTCTTCAATGACACAAACCACATAGTCAAATTTAGGAATCAAAGAACGAAGAATCTTTTTCACCATACGACCATTTTCTACTTTATCTGCATATCTCTTCAATTGATTCACAATTGCCTTCACCCTTGAACAATAATATGAAATTAATTGACTTGGATTCCTTCATTCTCAAGGCTTCAAAATCACCCCTACCCCTTAGTGATTGAAGTCTAACTTTCTTCACTTTGTAAACTCCTTGGAGAGAATTTTTCAAAATCTCCCAAGCTTGCCTTGAGGTGGTTGCATCGACCACCTTTTCAAACATAGAATCATCCAAACATTGATGGATAAGGGTAAGGGCTTGTTGATCCTTCTTCCTTGTCTTTGACATAGCATCCTTATCATTTTGACAAAGATGATCTTCATCTTCATCTTCATCTTGAGGATTCTCAAAACCATTTTCTAAAATATTCCATATATCTTGAGAGCCAAGTAATGCTTTCATATGAAGACGCCAACTCTCATAATTTTCTTTTGCAAGACAAGGAAAATAGAATGAAAAAATTTCATTGTTTGCCATCTCTCTATTTTTTTTATCTCAACATTCTTTGCTAACTCTTAGGGTCTTGGCTCTATACCACTTTGTTAGAGGGGGAGGAATTCTAGAAGAGAAATATTTGTAATACTCACTTTACTCACATGCTTTCAAATGCCAAATACAAGGGGTACGTATAGGTACTCCTAACTCTAATTATATGAATTGTAATTAATATCCTATAAATAAATCATAATAAATACTAAATACATGAATTATTCCATACAAATAACTTATATTTTTAATGAACTTAGTTACTTAAAAAACATTAAAAACACCTGTATCTAGTCATAAGAGAAATATAAAAAACTGAAATTATTTAAGCTCAACAAGGATACCACGATAGCAAGCCATAGCTGGGCTCCAAGCCAATAAGAACCTGGCACCACATGCCATTTTAGCACAAGTCAGCCCCAAAGTTAAACCAAAGGAAAAGGTTCAAATTATAGGAAGAAGTCTTATGATTTAGGACAAAATAGTTGGTCTAGCCAAAAAGCATACTTGATTTAAGAGAGAAATAACTCGTGTTTTTATCAGGACAGGGAAAGGGGGATGTGACTGCCTCCACCCTGTTTTCTACTGTAATTTGCAAATCATATTATGATTTAACTTTAAAACAAAATCATTAATATTAAAAAAAAAATAAAAAAAGGAGATGAAGGGACAATCTATTCCCATTCTAAAAAATGAAATAAGAAAACAAAAGGAACATTTTCTTTGGGAAAATTGCTAGGACTTCTTTATATTTTAATGAAACTATTCAAGTTGAATTAAACTTTTTAAAAGCTTTAACAGAACTTCCTCTGCACGTAGAACACCAACAAGGCCTCTATCAAGTTTTAGTTGAACGTCTGCGTCTACGATAAGTTTTTGTCAAATTTAGAAATTTTTAGGGAGTCTAATCTGATGCCTCCAGAGAATCCATAAACAAGAAATCGTACTAAACTGTTATCATGTCAGTTGCTATTGAATTGCAAGATCTAGTACTCTAGTAAACAAGTGGCTGTAAAATTAGCAGCTAACTCATTTCCCATGCATTTTCAGTTGTTGTATTGTAATTATGTTATTTGCTTCCAAGACTCAACTCACCTTTCAACAACAAGAACCTACCTGACGGTATCTTTTCTTCTTATACGAAAGCTGAGTTCCGGGCACGGTAAATTGTCTAAGATAGAGTAAGCTAGGATGAGAGTATTGTACCGAGACGAAAGAAAACAAAAGCTTACCCTTAAATAACTGATTATGACTCAAAACTGCATGACAATTGAAGGCAATAGCAATATCGCTGATAGATTTTAACTGAAATAAAACCCAAAATTACAGCTTGAGCACTCCATAGAATTTACAGGCGAGGTGTCCTGCTATTATTGGACCCAAAAAGTAGCATGCTGAAGTCGTAGTAAGACTTGAACTTCAACTCGAAAAAAAAAGGCTTCATATTACATATACAGCACTTTTAACCTCAATTTGATGAGCGGTATCTTGTCCAGTAACAGGGAACCTGGATTTCTAGTTCTGAACACCCTCTATTCTGGCAGAGGGATATCAGCTAAATCCTCTCTATACGGTAAACGATCCATCTCCGGGCCCTCGGTAGATTTAGCTCGTCCGTTTTCCATGTTAGTTTGTTGTTGTGGGTCATTCTTATTTGGTTCAATAAACGTCACCACAGTGTCTTTTCTAAAGGTTAAATAGATTACTGCTAGGATATAGATTGCCATTAGAGGAAATACTATAATTCCGATGAAAACATTCCCAACTTTTGGTAAGTTGTTGTCAATTAGCCAACCCACAAAGCCTGTGCTTAGATAATAAATATTGATGGCAATGATTCCCAGACCCAAAATCCATGAGATTACTATAATCTGCGTTCACAATAAGGAAAATGATTAGTTTAATAAAAGCAATTGTTGAATCTTAATTTATGTAGAAAGAGAAATTCTTAAATTATTCTTAAGAAAGGGGGAAAAAAACTTACGAAAATTGAGTTCTTGTGTGGTCCCATCTTGGTGGTACTGCTACTGAATTTAAGAAGTGGGATGAGAGCAAATGGCAGTTCAAAAGAAAGAATCATCTGCAGAACCCATTGACACGTTATGAAAATTGGCTACACTTGAAAATGGATTGAATTAAATACTATGATTAGTTTGACGTAATTAAATTGTCTAACCGATGCAATGATGATTAATCGGCCGGCGCCTGATGATCCACCTATAATTGAGACAATAAGACTAGGTGTAATGGCAATGCACCTACTCACTAGGTTCCTAATCCATTTTCTCATCTTAAGTTCCAAGAAACCCTGAAAATTACACCACCGGAAAGTAATTTATTATCTTCTAAAAATTAAATAGTTAAGTTCAAATGCGTAAGTTTGTTTTAATTTTTTGTCGTTAGAGACCTGCATGATGTATTGTCCTGCATAAGTGCCTGTGATAGTGGAGCTCTGTCCTGAAGCTAATAAAGCAATGGCATAAATTTTGGAGCTTGATTTTCCCAACACATTCTGTAAAAACAAATCAAATCAAATCATTAATTTATCCTTGAGCATATGCATTATAGCAAGTAATTCTTTTTTATGTGATTTTTACCTGAAGAAGGAAGGAGGCAGAGTTAAGGGTGAGATCTCCACATCGATCTGCGTTTTCTGAGGATAGATTTTGGGCTGAGCAAACAGTTCCAGATACAGATATAACTGCTAGATTGATCAAAAATGCTATAAACAACGCGAATCCACTCTCTATCAGAAAATAGCGACAGGCATCCTGTAAGATTAAGAAACATAATGATAAGTCAATTTGCTATAAAAATTTAAACAAAGCAAAATGTGATGTTCAAACATTAATTTATGCCACATGTCAATGCCAAGTGAACAAACCTTAGCCGCCCTTAAAAAAAAAAAAAAAGTTAAAATCTTTATATAATACTCAAAATCTCTCATTTATCTCTAGATTTGTAATTGCATTCTATAAAAATTTTTAAAATATTTCATTTATTTTTTCGATCAAATTTTTCAACCATATATATATATATATATATATATTTTTTTTTGTTACCGAAATGTCTTTTTACTAAAAAAAAAAAAAACACTTAAAGTCATATAACTTATGTGTTTCATTTTTAAAGTCTTCAAAATTTTATTTATTTATTTATTTCAATCAAGGATATTTTTATCAATTTTTTTTATTTGGCTGAAAAAATAAAACACAAAGACATATTGCATATTTCAAATTTGCGTAGTATATCACATCATACATGTATATTTACCCAAAAAGTTACTACAAGATAATTTTAATTTCGCCGTTTAGCTTACGTTAATGCCACGGACAGAATTTGGTATTTTCCTAGACAGAACAAGAGCAGAGTGGAGAAAGAGGTTGTGCCTGTAGAGACAACAGACAAGTGAATGATTTAGTCTAAATAATATATAGATATCGATTGATAAACTTAGGCATTATATTACTAGTATAAAATAATCGAGTCATATTTGAGGATCGAACTAACGGCATGATAAGGGCACCGAGTAGGGCAATGGCATCGCCAGTGGCTCCTTGGCCTGACAGCTTAGGGATAAACATGCCCTTAAGCACATCTCTTGCAGGAGGCTTTACATAGCTCATTTCTCCAAAGAAACATGCTGCCATAACAAACACTAGCACTGCTATCAACAGTTCTAGCTTCCTCACCTGGCCAAAAAGAACACAAGTCTCAGAAGACATTAAGGACGAGTACTGCAATTTAATTTAATTTCTTCTTTTAAGACTTATTCAAGCCCTTTTTCTCTGTAGCCAATAACAAGGAGAAGTTTTGCAGATTATATGGAAGACAGTTCCTTCTATCTGTAACTGTATTGAACTATAAACATAAGAATTTGATGGGATAATGTCATTGCACTGAATCCTAAATTTTTTTAATGAATTACAGTTTTAAATATAGGTAAGGTGAGAGTGGAAAAATAAATTAACAAACACACACATATATATTTATTTATTTTCTTTTTATGCTTTTGGTATAGAAGAGAACAAAATAACAGCTTAAGTCTGAATAGTTGACCGACAAAGTAATATTTTAAAGAACTAAAAACAGGAAAAGCACAAATGTAACCAAAACCCTTTTTCTTTTACATTTGTATTGAAACCAAACATGCATATCCAGACAAGAACACCTAAAGTCTCAAGACTTGACACATTATATCAAAACTAAAGGCATTCCTTTATTGTCATTTTTCCATTAATGATATGACTAATTAATATTAATAGCTTACTCCGTATTTCTGCAGGCCAAGGAGTAGGAGAGTGCTACAACCTGTGCAGAGAACTCCAACCCATACTGGGATGTTAAACAATATGTTGAGCGCAAAAGCTGTCCCGATCACTGTAAAAAGTTGAGAAATTCTACGTTATAAATTTCTTTGTTATTCTCTAGTTTCTCAGTTACAATTCAACTTGTTTGTTTTAACAGTCTATAAGTGACGGATAAGAACAAAACTGAGACGTATATGTGTCTGATCAAAATAGCATTAATTATCAGCTAAAGAGATAGACAAGTATCAAAAATTAATTTAAAATAATAGAGATAAATAAGAAATTATGCCTTCGGGAATATCGGCAGCTATGACCGCTATCTCTGCTAGCAACCACAGGCAATACTTGACATATTTTGGGTACTCCGCTTTGCATAGCTCTGACAGGTGCTTTCCTAAAATCCCCATACCAAAATTGTAATAATCAATACTAATGAAAGAATGATACATTCTAATTAAGCTTATATACACAAGTAATACAAAGTTAGAACAAGGTTATTTTTTTAGATAATCATAGGTGTAATGTTAATTGAATGTCTAACCGGAGCTGACACCAAGGTTTGCAGCAAGTGACTGGATTATGAGAGCAAAGATCAATCCGATAAGTATTATCCACAGCAGCTGAAAATACCAAATAATATCACCACCGGTTAGTGGATTTATCCAGAAGCGCTGATTTTCTCATTGCCAAAGAAAATAATGATATTTTTCTTCTCTTTTCCATTTCTGTTTCTCCTTTAATTACCTCATATCTGTGATTAGCTCCTGCTTGCAAATCAGTTTCCACTGTTTACATGCCACCATAAAACTATGTATAAATCATATAAGCCCAAATACAGTAGTACATAACTGACAGAACATGTATGGAGAGGTACACTTACAGTTGCCAGGGTCTAGATAAGCCAATGAAACAAGAAAACCAGGTCCTACATGTGATAGAAACTTTCTCCATCCAGGTTTCTAGTCATCAAAAAATGTAGACATATATATATATATATATATATATATATATATATATATAAAGCTCAATTGTTGATTACAAAAAAGCTTTCTAAAAATTAGAATTTCCTGAACATATGCATATATATGAAAGAGACCTGGTGATTTGGGTCTTCAGACTCATGATCATCAACCCAAGGTTGTGGATGCCCCTCCACATTAACGGCTGCTATGCGGTTGCTTGATCCATGCCATGACGCTGGCAATGTACTATCATTTGGTAGCTGTTGCTGCTGAATGCCTGCCATCTCTCTATCTCTGTCTCGGTGTTTGTGTGTTTTGTATGACAAAGCATGCTGGTTAGTGAAGTCGTGGTGGTCTATTTATAGTGCAAAAGAGCATGCCGCTTGTCTGGCTTGAAGAAAGATCTTCAGCAGTAGTCTTATCTATTTTCCAACAATCTGGCTCATCCTGCAATGTCTTCTCAGTAAACTTGTGTTGACGCATATACATAAATAAAAATAGAGTCAATTATTAGTTGGTGTTCAAATAGGATGATTTATTAATTGTTGATCCTTTTTTTATCTTATTCAGTTTTCAGATTTGATCAGACGCATTCCATATTCTTTTTCTCGTCAGCTACAATATGTATGTATGAAAAAACTTTCAACACGTTTTTTCTATATAAGGTATGGTCAAGTCTAAATGCCTTGGGCGAAGACATTAATCCCATAAACTTCAACTTACTACTAATTTATAATAGTAGTTTATTTTTAAGAAAGGTGATCACAAATTCACAATAACTCTCAACTATATATTTTGATCTCTTTTTTTTATTAGTATTTTTATTTGAGTGTTTCCTTCTTCTTCTTTTCGTTAGGATTTTTTTTAATTATTATTTTAATGTTTGCTATTAATTTAGTTCAGTGGGTGCTCATATCCGTTAAATGTAAGTTTGACAATAGCGTAGATTTGATGATGATAAATTTAATTGACAAGGGTGTTATCAATCTTAAATTGAATAAATGAAGTTATTGGTTTTTTTTTAATTTGATAATAACTTTTTTAGCTTTATTCTCTCTTTGTCTCTTTTTTTTTCTTTTTTTTATGAATTTGAAATTATAATAGGAGAGATAGCAATTATAGATTTAAGTGGTGTTTGATAAAACTGAAAATTAAATACCGAATCTGTTAAATATTGAATTTTAAGTGTTGAATAATCAAGTAATGAATATATTACTTATAAGTCTGTTTGGTATTTACTAAAAATTAAATGTTGAATATAACAAAGTTGTTTGATAAATATTATTACTGAATATATTAAGGTTATATACATGACAATTTTAACTTTACAAAACATGATATTTTTTAATACAAATAAAAATATATACATAAATATATTTATGTGTATAAATAAATAAATCGATTAATTTTAAAATACTCTTGAATCGGGTGCTATGTACACCTTTCCATACAGCCCAAACAAAAGTAAAAATTATGTCAAAATCACATATCGTAAGAACATTTTGATAGCAATCTCGTCGTCTTCTTTCTATATGTAACTTATCGGTCAGTGTGATATAATAGCACGAATTAAAATACTATCAAGTGCACCTATAACATCTTATAAATAAATAAAATAATTAATTTTAAAATACATAAATCAATAAAATTAGAAATAAAAAATTAAATATATAACTTAAAATATTTGGCGAAATGGACGATGATATTAAACTTAGCTTAGATCTCGGTAAAATATAGTAGGTTCGGTAAAATATAGTAGGTACAACCATAGCTACGTCCAGAAAAGCCAACGAATGAAAGAAATCCATCAAACACAGTAAAAATAAAACCCATATTATCCCTAGAAACCGCACAATCTGGAATATCATTTCTCCAATCTTCTCATCTGCTAAATTGAAAAACACAATCACTTCGAGTTCACCGCCCCTTCCTCTGTATTTGCTATCCAATGACAAGCTCCATTCACAAAAGGCGAGGGCGAATAATTCTGGATAACATATTTCAGATCATTATAATTTTTTCATCGAATAAACCTCAACTAACCTCACCAATCTTCTTGGCTTTTCTTCGGAACGATGACAAGATTGAGGACGCAAATAACCTACTCTCACCAATTTATAGTCATGGTTTGATGGGATCAAACCAAATCCAAAATAGTTCTACGAGGATTCATCAAATCAACACTCGTGGCCTCGGAATGGGGACAATCTTTCTAATATTAGGACTCCACAGAAAAGCCTTAGAAAGATATTTATTATAATGGCTAGCAACATTAAGCATGAAAAGTAATTCATTACTTGGTCCCATTACTTGTGTCTTGCTGCGGTGACCATGACTTATCACTAATAGGTTCTCAAGTGGGAAATCAAGTTCCTCTCCATTGCATCAAGGAAAATACTTTTCTGGGTACAAAAGCCCAGACTATAAATTGGAATTGGTTTGATTCCATCAACCATGACTGTAAATTGGTGAAAATAGGCCATTGCCCTCCTCGATGCTATATTATGGTTACGGAGAACGGCCAAAAAAAATGCGGCCATTCGTTAAGGTTTATTCGATGGAAAGTGGATGTAGGAGAAAGGTGGACAAGGATCTTAGATTTTTTTATCCAGAACTATTCATCAGTTTTTGTTAATGGAGCTTGATGAAGCGTAGGGTCTAACTTGGAGCGCTCTATCATAGTCCTTAATTACATACTAGTGTAGCTCTAATTGACTGTAACAAAACGCTTTATTGTTGTATCCAAACAAACAAACAAAAATCAAATTCACGTTTTCCAAATAGATCAGACTCGATGAAAAGAAAAAAAAAAATGAAGATCAATCGAATTGAACTGCGAACCAAATGTCCTAAATAGTGCAAGACTTGTTAGACAACAAGGATAATAATAATCGTTTCTCAATTGATTTTTATAGTTAGAGTTATAAGAATATATGAAAATCATATAGTTATATTTAAAAAATTTTAAAAATTTTTCAATAGTTAATAACAAGTTAAAAACTTTAATTTATTTAATTAAGTAGATTTTAATTGAATTTAAGTTTTAAATATGAGATTATTTTTTGAATAAATTTTTTATATTAAATGCTATAATTTAATTTTTTAATTTATTCAAATAGGTTATCAAATATATTTTCAGGACTACTTTTATCTTAAATTGAATATATATATATATATATATATATATATATATATATATATATATATATATTAATCGATATCTGATGAAAGGAGAGGTAGCCGTATAAATTGTTATAGCTTTAGACCAGTTTCCTAAAAATGGGCTGCTCATTTGGCTTATTTCTGACTTCACTTTTTTCTTCTTCTTTAAACTTTTTAGAAAGAGAATTTGCTCAATGAATGTCAATTAGTTTAGCGGGCAAGTGATTGGATAACATGTATACCTAATTACTGAACATTCCTCTTGCCGTATTCGAACTGTGAAGAACACGAAGAAGACAAGAATTTGCTACAAATATAACATGAAATTAATTGCTAATTAGAAGGGTGTCTTTTACCTCTATGGGAAAACAATCATAGGATAGCATTTTACTAAAGAGACAAGCATGGAATTTTTTACTGAACCTTACCACGGTTTGCCTTGCTTTAACTTTAATTTGAAGCCACTCACTTGGATTTTTGTACCTAATTGATTACGTTCAAAATATTAAAGCATTAAATCGTAACATGTTCGTTCCTAAAGTTAGAAACTCTCCTCTGTTACAGAATCTCTCTGATAGCGGAAAATGTTCCAAGCTTAAAAACAGCACACCTGGCCACTAGGCATTAATTAAGCAGTAACGATGACAAGATCCATGCCTCCCCATTTCTGTGGAAGGAAGAGATGATTCGTGCCTCTTTATAAATTACTCTCGTCTATATATCATTATTAATTAATAAGCTAATACATGATGTAAGGTTGTGGATGATTAATTAATTGGAATTTTAGATATTTTGTGCATGCATGGGACACGAATTAATCTGTCATAATATTAATTACCGCTCAACTTTATTAATTAATTTTTTTATTACTTAATTCCAATTAAAATTTAAACAGTCAACAATCTGACGTTTGATATTTATCAAGCATAAGGTGCTAACCGGATACATTAATTAAAAAAACAAAATCGATGATAGACCGTGATAATTGTTGTATGCTTAAAACATCTGTACAATTCCCAAGGGGATTACATTCATAGTGTATCGCAAAATATACTTATAACATTTTAATTATATTAAATTGAGAAATTGAAGGAACCCAATTAATTAGAAGAAACAACCAAACACTAAATTTGCAGTAAATATGGAAGATTGGGAAATACAATCGGGTAAAAACCCAGAAAGAGGCTGGCATCAAATATGAAGGGAACTGTCTAAAAAGAGTCTCATTTGAATAAAATAAATGAAGATGATTAACTTGATTAAATGATTAGTTATAATTTGATAAGTCGATATGATAAAAATCCATATCTCTAAAGGACATGACTACCCCTCTTCTATAAAATGATCGTTCCTTGTTGTTTAGCTTTTGTATCTACTAATTACTTGTATCTTCATTTGGATGTTTGAAAACGACTTGTATACTTTGGGGCCGGCTGCTATATATATATATCTCATTTTATGAAAACTTATGACTAATAAATAAGAATTCTACCGTCAAGAAATGTGGTCTAAACGTAAAAAAAAAAATTATATATATCATTTTTGAAAAACTTATGGCTAATAAATAAGAATTCTACCATCAAGAAATATGGGCTAGCTGTAAAATATATATATATATATATATTAGTTTGACTAAAATTAAAGTTCAATTTTTACTATCTAAAAATAAAAGAAAAAGTGGATAAATTTTTCAATACATATTTTTTACCCGATATAATAATTATCATATATAAGTATTCGATATTTTTCACATTTACTCGTCTTGATATGATATCAATTTAGATTAATATTTTTGAAATTCAACAAATTTTCATGAGATTTTAGAGAGAATAATGTATCATTTATAATTAAATTTTTCCTTTCATATAATAACATCTTTACTTTTCTCGGAGCCTTTAAATTATGTCACTTCAAGTAATAATATATTCACTCTTCTAAGACCTTTAAAAATTGCTCTTCAAGCAATAATATTAGAGTTCAACCTTGATTTTACTTGGTGATGACTTAATAATCAATTTAAATTGAGAATAAGCAGAACATGACAATTTATTAAATTGAAGAATCTTCCGACTCTTTAATAGATATCTATATGAATTTTTAGTAATTTTTTACATCGTGAAAC